CGTCAATTTATAATGGTAAATATCACAAATTTTAATTTAATTATTATTAAGGAATAATTTTTATTTCTTATCATAACACGATTATTCATACATAAATGTCAAGAAAAGATATTTTCCAATATACTCTAAGTTTTTTTTTATAATTATTTGATTTATTTTACTATTTAATAATTTCATAAAAAAAACACATAATAATTTAATTAATATGTTATTGCCTATTAAAAAAGTATAATTTTTTTAATGTAATTTTTGATACGAATATATTTATTGTTGTTTTGTATTTTATTCGTTGTTGTTAGTCATATGACAATAATATGATATCTTTCAAAAAAAATAATTGTAAATATGATATTTCATAGATTATATATTAGGATAGAATCTTTAATGTGAAAAGATAATTTTTTTTATAAAAGTAATTTAAATTCAAAATTATTATTCGTCGTTTTAATAAATTTATTCTTAATATAGATAAACATATGAACAAAACATGTATACTATTTATCTTTCACCAACTTTGTTCACACTCATCTCTCTTTCATCTAATAAAAGTGGATAAATTGAACAGGTTAGCAAAAATAAAATTTATACAAAATTAATCTTTATAGTCTTATAAAATAAATCAATATATTTTATCATTAAATTAATTAATAAAAACTAAAAAGGTTTATTGAAAAATTTAATAAATGTAAACAATTTATAATGATATAATACCTCTTCATCCAATAGGACATTAGGCGAGAAACTCATACTTTGATTTTATTTTCAATCATTTTGCTCGAATTTAATTCTATGATTAAATTAGATCTGCATGTAAAAACAAAATTCGGTAAACAAACATAAACATATAATCATTAAGTATCCCAAATAAACACAATGTAAGCAATAATCACAAATATACACTTAAACATGGATATGAAAAATTAAGCTAAGTATTACCTAATAAAACTGATACAAAATTAGATTGATTTGGTTTTATAGTGATACGAAATTTTATTGGTGTCGAATGATGCGTCAATTCATAATGGTAATTCAATTATAATAATGAACGATTTTTATCTTTTATCACAAATACTATCAAAATTTATCTTACAATGGTAGATATATAAATCATATATCTAAACATGATTTTTTCTAAAAGATAATTTTAGTTTTTAAAATAAATTAAATCCTAATAAATCACTATTCGTTGTTTTTACTTACGTGGCAAAATTATTAAATCTCATTCGTCACTTTTGTTTAGGTGGCAAGTGAATTTTTTAATTCTAATATAAAATAGAAATCTAATTTTTAATTGGTCGAAAACATACCTTTGCTTATGTGGCGCGCCAAATGCTCTTTAAAAATGCTTACTTTATTTATATAATATTAGATTAGATTTCATCAATTATTTTAATTGCATTATTTACACTTTTTCACTATTCACACACCTCTTTTGAATTTCTTTTGTGATTTATTCGTTAGAATATTATATTTTTAAATAGTTATATGTGATAATTTATTTTGTGATTAATCAATTTATTACATGGTTTTGACACACATAAAATGTGCATAATTACACTTCTACATTGAAATCCTTCTTTGATTCATCTCATTTTATGAAAGAGTATTAAATTGACTTACTTGTTTCAATCTATAATTATGAGTGAGAAATCAATAATAATCATGTTTCATAAATGTATCATCTCATAATTAAATTATCATTTATTATCATGCTTGTAAACATGTCCTTAAATAGAATTTATCAAACAATCCAAGAATCATAATCTTCTTATAATGATGACACTTTAATTTTCAAAGTATATAAAATACCTATTAAGATACTATGCGAATATTAAAAAATCTATACATGTATATATACCAAAAATCATATCACTTCTGAAACAAGAAAAACATATCACTTCCAATTATCAACCACTTAAAAATCATATCACTCAATTCTCCTATATCGTAAAAATAATTATTGTCAAAATAAAATTGCATAATTAAAATATTTTAAGCCTAAAACAAGAAAAACCTTCTCATGTAAGAAATAAAAACTTGTAAGAAAACTTCTGAAACAACTACTATCATCAGTAACACATACACATCTAAATCCCTTCCAATTCAAAGTGGAATCTTGATTTTGATAACTTTAATATAAACTATTACTATAAAAAAAACATTCATTAAGATATCTTTATATAACTACAATTATAATAAATTCAAACATTTAATGCAAGAAAAAATAATTCCTCCATTTTTTAAAGTGCGCATCACTTTAATCGGCATAATTTGTTAGGAGATTGACTTGAATTCTATAAATAATATGCACACAAAAATTGATGCATTGTATAAAATTTCATAGTATCAACTAATTATACTAAATATATGATCAAAATTATTAAAGGTAAAATAATGTTATGTATCAACAATATGTATATTAAAGTGTTTCAATTACTTTAGGATGATTTTTTTTTACAAAAACTTTAGGATGATAAATTTTGTAGGGTACCCCTCCGTATTTTATTGGTTATTATTATATTTTAAATATTATTCATAATACTTCAACTGTTTCTTTTTATTGGTTATGTTTAGATTTTAAAAGTTATTCATAATACTCATTCCGTCCAAAAATATATGAGACATTGGACTTTTTTCACTATATATGTATTAGTTTTGATCATATTTTTTTACTAACATAATAAAAACTTATTTTATCATAAAATATGTTGTTAAATAGGTATATATATAAAGTTTTAAAATATAATTTTAAAATAATTTTCATAATAATTAATTATATACAAATAAATTCAAAGTAATGCATTGACATGCGTGCAATATTGACTGTGTCATGTATTCTGGGATAAAGGGAATTAGATAATATTTAAATTTACTCACGAAAGTAAAAGAGTTGTGTGAGATCATGTTTGATCCATCTCAACGAATGCTCTATTAATATTCAATCGTTATAATTTTAAAAAGTATGTAATGAATAATAATCAAATATGTGTATTGACAAATGTGTAAAAGTCAAAACGTATCCAATAAAAAGTGAAGAAGGGAGTATTATACTTTAGATATAGGGTAATTTTGTGAAAATTTAAGATAATTTTACCAACAACTACCATTATAATGACTACTTTGAGAACAACTAACTACCATTTATTAATTTATTTTTTTGTAAAAAAATTCTAAAAAAATCTACCACAAAAACCTTGAGTAACACAACTACATTTAATTTCTTGGCAATAATCTCCAATTGAGGGAGCTAAAAAATCGGTCGTTTCAACGACAAGGGAAGGGAGGAGGGGCAGTTTCATCGACCTGAGAAGAGAGGGGCTACTTGGGGGATGGGGGAAGGGGGTGGTTTCGATGGTGTAGGTGGGTCGCCAGAGTGTTTTTAGGGGTAGAGAAGGGCCGAATGGTTGTTATCGGTTGCTAGGGGAGGCGGGCGGTCGAATTTCGGTCAGGCCGGGGGTTAGGGCTAAGGGGAGGAAGGATGGTAGCTGGCTGGGAAGGGTTTTTAATTTTTTTTCTTTCTTTTTTTTACAAAAAAAATTTGGACCAATTATGTTGTGACACATCACACATTGCTTTTACAAAATGAAAATCACCCTTTCTTTAAGTCACTGGTTAATCGATCTAGTGGAAGAAAATCAACCCAAAAGTTCATAGTGCTCTCTAATTAACGTAATTTGGGATTATTGAGAGTAAATTGCTGAAAGTTCGGATTAATAACTTATAGTGAATTTTTCTAAAAATTAAAACTTAGATTTTGGAAGCATCCAATAAATAGATCAAAAAGCGAAGACAAGTCAAATTCAGGGTAAATTGGAGGAAGAAATGGAGTCGTTTGACTCTTGAAATTGTTGTTTTTAATCTCTTTAGTTTTTTTAAAAATGTAGTCCTTTAATGGAAGTGGTGTTACTTATGTTTGTTGGGAGATGTAGCAAAATTTCAATTTTAGATTTACATAAACGCGTAGTAGGTGTTGTTAAACTCATTTGTATGTGATATCGGTAAAAGTCATTACAACATCATGACCTTGTATGAGAATATATACTCCCTCTGTCTCACAATATAGTTTTTGTTTTCTTATTTTAGAGACTCAAAATGTTGTTCCTATTTCTATTTTTGAATAGTATGTAAAGACCATTATACTCTTAATTTTTATTTTATTCATTGAACTTCCTAATTTACCTTTAACTTATCCACTTGCATTGTACTTTTTTCATTTTCTCTCTCTAACTTTTGTCTATAATTGAACTTTTTACCTTTTCCCCCTTATATTATCCACTTGCCTTGTACTTTTGTCTAGTTCTTTTTCACTTCTCCTCCCATTTCTTAAATACCGTGAAAAAAAACAAAATAAGAACTATATTATGGGACGGAGAGAGTATAAGATATGGTTTAGTCAGATCACAAAGAAATATGATTGACATGTATGAAGCATATATCTCAAGAGGATTTTATACATTTGAATTATTGGGGTCCTTAATGTAAGACATACTGATTTTGGGTTGTTTCAGTCATTTCACCAACATTCATAGACTTTTAATTGTATGTTAGAAAATATCTTGCACAACACGAAATATCATCACTAACTTCCCTCGTTTTATCAATAGTCTCATCGCATGTTTAAATGTATATTGGTAAGCCTTATATGCGTTGTCTTTAATCGTTGTAAGCTAAATAGTAAATGTCGTTAATGACCTTAATTGATATTGCGTAAGGGTTTCTTATGCCAATAGTAATTTATGTTACTTACTGTCCTTTTGTTTGTTGTAAACTCAGTTTAATTAATGTAATTTCAGCTGTTTTTTTTAAAAAATTTCTTAAAAACTTTCAAAGAATTGATACAAGCTTTGACATATGTAAATATCAAAAAATATTTTAATTTTAAACATATTTACATAAAACCTTTATAAAGTCCATTGTCTTATAATTAGACGATCATAGCAAAACCCGCCTCATTTATTTATCAGCCGGGTCTAACCCATATTATAACTATGGCGGGTCATGGCTTTTAAAGACCTACATTCCTATGTCCTAAGTCTCTGAGTTATTTCATTGCAGCGCACTCAAGTTCTCCATTGAAGCGCACTCAACGTTCTCCATCGAAGCGTTCTCCGTTGAATCTAATTCTTGTATCCCCCATTGAAGCAGCTTCTAAGGTAAGTTGTTTGTTGTTGTTATCATCACATCAATTTCACAATCTAGGGTTTATATTTGATCTAATCTAATTTAATTAAGTGCTTTAAGTTTAGGGTTCGCAAATTCTTAGATTATGAAACATCATATCCAAAAGAAAAGAAAATTATGAGCGTAATTTGATTATTGAATCAAGTATCCCTAAAATTATGTATTTTTCGAGATAATTCAATATGAAATCAAATCTCTTTTCCCTGGGCCTAGGGCGGCCGCCCCTCCTGCCCTGCCTCAGGGACGGGCCTGAGTTTCCCTTCCCTGACCAAAATTTTTATTGCTTATTTTCTGAATTTCGAGCTTATTTTTTTGTTGCTTATTCTCTGGCAACTTGGCAAGAGTACTTATTGTAGGTTTTCCGTTGTTGATGACTAGGGGTGGTTAATGGACAGCGCTGCCCATTAATAGGGTCGGACCAAAATTTAAAGGGTCTTGACCCTTTAATACTTTAGTGGACAGGTCAGTAAAGCGCTTTAATTTACAGGGTCTTGACCCAATGTTTGTCTCAAGAAATGTGTTTTTGCTGTGTTTTGTTGAACCCATTTGGAAAAAAATTGAATTTGATTAGAATGTTGATATAAGGTTGTTAGGCTTGTTTGCCTTATGGCCTAAATTTCGACATCTTGTTGTGAAGCAGAATATTGATTTACCAAATTCCATTCTAGACTTTGGCTATATGTGAACATTGTTTGCGAATCTTATGAACCCGCTTGGAACTTGGATATTTTAATCCAGGTTGAATTAGTGGATTTCAACTGAAAATATATATCACCTACATAAAGACTATCATTTATGTCAATGTTTACCCAACGCCTGCCCAAGATGGCAGTGGATCTAGTGGCAGTGTTTTAGGTGGGGGCGGGGTAACCGGTGAGGTGTACACACTTACCTCAGTTACCTGTGCAATAACAGAGATTTTATTCCATTTAACAATTTGATTGGTAATGCAACAATTTGCTGCTGCATAATTGATTATAACCGGTACAAATTTAAGTACAAATTGTGGTGTTGGGCATTGTGTTTGTTATGGTGTTGAGGTTTGTCTTCCATTGATGGTGAGAAAGGTTGAAGAAGAAGAGAAAGGTTGAGAAGGGAGGATGAAAATGGAAGGAGGAGGAGGAAGAGGGTGAGTCAACAGAAAAACAATAAAATATTAAAAAGTTTGCCATTATTTACAGTATTTACCATTTTGAGAAACCTTTCACATCAACTTGTTCTAAATGTTTCGTACAATACCTCTCTTCATTTTCTTCAGAAACAAACAGGGAGGTGACGCCGACAAATCTGTCACCAGAAGACGGCGGGGGTATTACGATTGTACGACCGTTTAAGTGGCCTACTATCGACATTTAACCATTCGTTTAGATCGTGATCGTAAATCAAATTGTAAGCTCAATCTAAAATGCTGACTACTTTTCTATCCCAAATCAATTTTTCTCTTCACTCATGCAAATTCAATTTCTAGGGTTTGATATTTTTTTTTTGTTTTTCACTATCTTTCAGCTTGACTTTCTGGTAATTATCAATTTGATCGTGAATGGCGAGTACGGCGTGTTTTATGATCGTTAGTCGCACTGATATACCCATTTATGAAGCTGAATTGGGTTCTGCATTGAAAGTATGTCTCTTAATTTTGACCATTATTCGTTGCTAAGTATTTTCATTTTAGTTCGGCAAATTCGTTAGTTTTTTATTTGGGGAGAATTTTCATTCTTGAACTCAAAATGCTAGAACATTGTGTTATTTGTTCTCTATTATTGCTATTGTATAATTTATAACAATTTATTGTATGGTAAAAAAATATCTATTTGCAATTTAGAAGTAAGGTGAATCAGTCAAGTATTTGGACTAATATTTAAAATTGTTGGGTTTAATGTTTCGGTCTGCACAAGTTCTGATGAAATCAAATTTCCAGTAGAAATTTAGTGACATGGATTGCGTCCTTTTCATGTTTGTCTTGGTACAGAATAGATGATTATGAGATTCGCAATCGAGATGTCGGTATTTATGGCAAAACATAAACTTAGAAGATAGAGTTTCATATATGGAGCTTGTCGATATGATACATTTTGTTATGTTTTGACTAGATAAATCAGTGTTAATATACATTATCTTTGTGTATATGGAAAATGGTTGATTGCAATTAGTTTTTCACTCATGCTGAATTTTAATCATTCTATTGTATAGAATGATGTGCTTCTTAAGGATGTTGTTTTGTGGTGCTGCTTTTAACAAATTTTTTTCTTGGGGGAACAACCATGCCAACTAGTAGATAGAAGAGAAAGTGAGAGAAGTGCAGAAGGCATGTGTACTTTTTACAGCGTGTTTGGATAAAGAAAGGGGAAGGAAAAGAAGGGAGGGGAGGGAAGAATTATGAGTTTTCCTTCTAAATCTCTCCATTGTTTGAGAGATCAATTTCTTACAATTCAATCCTTCCATTTCTTTTCCCTCCAATTCCCTTCCTCCCTCATTTGTTATTGAAATAGAAGATACTCCACCCCTCCATTTCCCTTCCCTTCCCTTCCCTTCCTTTTCCTCCATCTCCTTCAATCCAAACACACTGTTAAAGAAGCTATGAACAACAAGGCTAGCTTTTGTTATTTATATGGCTATATTTGTGATTGCAATTACAATTTTATATTATTCCTGGAAATTGACTTGAATCCTTGATATAAGTTGTTTGCTTTGCATGGGGGTTTGGATGGACTAAAGAAAATTTAATACAATGGGGCAAGTGGAAACACTATTATGGGCAGTAGCTTCGAGTCCATGTTTAGAACAAGATGTGCATATATCTATGGGATCACTTTGACTTAGGGTTTTCTGTGAGTTAGGGACCAACTTGTCCTGGGCTAAGAAGGGTTAGGATTTCTGGAGTACCTTGATTTAGAGATTTGAAACACATGGTTAATTTGTCAACTAGTAGTGATCCTGTTGAAGCAAACTTGCTGCCACCTTTGTCCATAGAGTCTTTACTTATTTAGCATCTATGTTGCTATTGATTTATTCATCTATTGATGCTTGATGTTACTGGTTATATAATATTGCCATCTTACTCTAATTTTCAGAAGGAAGATGCTGCACAGCAGCACCAGTTTATTCTGCATGCATCTCTAGACATAGTCCAGGACCTTGCATGGACTACCAGTGCTATGTAAGCGTCTATAATTTTAGTTTCACAGTTTTAATCTTTCATCCCAAGCTGTTGTGGCTATATGTTTTTGTTTTGATATATATATTGTTTCTTTGCTTTTTAGTGCTCTCACTTTGTTTTTACCATTTTATTCTTATTTTTTATACCGTAATATTTCAGGTTTCTAAAAGCGATTGACAGGTTCAATGATTTGGTGGTGTCAGTATATGTAACTGCTGGTCATATCCTTGAAATATTCCCTTTTATTTTAATAAAGTGAAATATTCCCTAATATTCATTTATTGAATTATTTTTTGATTTTCCTAGTTATCTTGAATTGATGCTTGATTGTTCTCTTCTTGTTAGCATGTATTCGAGCTTTAATGTAGTAGTCCTGTTCGTTATGAGTTGATTAGTATCTTCACTTTGTATGAAATAAAGTGTTGTGTATGACTATTAACTTATTAAGTAATCGGGAGTTCAGTTTATTAAAATGCTCTAAGTTACACATCAATTCCTAATTTTACAGTTCAGTGTGTCTTAATATTTTTAAAATTATTTATTTAATTGTTTTTTCAAGGAAAGCACAGTGAAAGTACTATTTCTCTCATCTTCATCTCTCATGTATCGATATAAATTCTTCATTGAGAAATTTTCACTCTCACATGACCTATGGCTTAATTAGAAGAGAGAAAATGGTTTACCATTTGTTTGTTCTGAAGAATGAAATTCAAAATGGAGTCATTCATTATGTACAGAGAAACATATGCATGTTTCTAGTGGTTTTTGTTAGCTTTGGATTCATGTAAATACTCTCTCCGTCCAATAATAAAAGTATCATTTGCCTTTAGCACAGTTTCAGGAAGGTGAATTAAAAAAAAGATAGTGGGGTCATGAAGAAGCAAGATACTGAGGTCTGTTTGACTAAAAGTGAATAAAAAAGAAGTTAGTGGGGTTTGATTTAATCGATTTGAAATTTAGCTTTAGTTGAAATGATAATTTTATTTAGGGATGAGATGTTAGGATGATTTATTTAATTATTTATTTTCTTAATTTTATTTAATTATTAATTTTTTTGAGGCTGGAGGGAATACTTTGGATTTTGTTGCAAATCTAAGACATGATTTTCTCTAAGTCTTTATGTCCACTAAAGACATTTTCTCTATATTTTGATTGATAGGTACTTTATGTTGGTTTGTATTTCAATTTTTTATGTATTGCATTTAAGTTTTGATATTCCTTAACCTGATATCACATACAAGATTTATGCTTCTTCATGACTCCCGTAATGAGGATGGAGTGAAATGTTTCTTTCAGGATGTGCACGAGTTGTATATTAAGGTATGAAGCGCTTCTACTGCTACAAGTTATACTGCTCGCTCAAATTGCTATTGAGAAATGGATGGTAGTTTTATTAAATGAGTGAAACTGCACAGTAATGGAAGATAAGAAGAGTGTGTGTGTTGGGGGGGGGGGGGGCAACCTATATAAATCAGCTCTCAAAATTGCTGGTAACTTGTATCACTTCAATATGCCCTAGAGCGTATTTAAATATATCAACATATTGGTTCTCTATTTTCATGATATATTTTTATTCTGTTTGTTTACTTATTATATCAGAACATGATCCTGAATAAATATTGTAGTTGATAGATGATAGGAATCTAGATATGAAGTCATGGATACAATTGTATCTTCCTATCTCTTAAAGAGTAAATGTGGGAAGAAGAGCTCTGAAAAATTGTTTTGCAATGTGGGCCATGTGGCAGGAGTTTTGTAATACTATTGTCATATAGTAATTTCTTAACTATGTTTAAGCTGCTGTTGAGGTTTTCTCAGTTGGTTCAAGAGACACAAAAACTTTAATGGTCATTGAATTATGTTGGACACTTGTTTTAGTACAGGAGATTTTTCATTACCCCTGGTTGTCTGAGGTTAAGGGTTATGCAATCAGTGTTTTATCTTTCTGTTAAAAGAGAATACTATGATCTACATTGAATTATTGAAAGATGTACATGGAATTGTTTTGAGGAGAAAAGGCCTATTAGGTTGTATATTATTTTTATTTTATTTTTTAAAAAATGGTTCCCGAAAATTGTAGCTATCAAACAACTTTGCTAGGTATAAATTTTGAAATAGCTGAAGTGGTAAAAATTTAGGATGACTTTGATGCTTATGGTTTTACTACTATCTTCTCCTTAGAACTAGACCTGGCAAATGGGTCGTTTGAGTCGGGTACGGGTCGGGTCATTTCGGGCCAGTTAACATTCGGGTCGGGTATGGCTCGAGTCGGATTGATTTCAGGTCGGGTCATTTTCGGGTCACGTATATTCGGGTCATATTTGGGTCGGGTCAAAATCAGATCGGGTCATGTTTGGGTTGTTCCATTTGATTTGTGGATCTAGCTCAAATCAATAATTTTATATTTTATTATTATTATAATAAGAACTATTAATTCGATTTATGAGTGTGACTATAGTTGAAGATGAACAATTTAAATTATTTTTGGCACCTGACATTTTTAGTTCAATTATAAGGTAATTTTAGTTCAGGACATTTCGAGTATTGGGTCTGTTCGGGTCAATTTTGAGTATCGGGTTTGTTTGAGTCAAACAATTCGGGTCAATTTCAGGTCGGGTCAACTTCGAGTGTCGGGCCAGGATCGGGTCAACTCTATTTTCGGGTCGGGCACGGGTCGGGTCAATTTCGAGTTTCGGGTCATTTCGGGTCGTTATTTTGGGGTCAACGGGTCTAGGTCAGGATTGCCAGGTCTACTTAGAACTATGATGAATTCTTAGAGCAATTAAAGATGCACTATTGAGGTATTACTACAATCAATGACACTTGAGCAATGATATGACTTCATTATTTTATTTTCTATGAATCAATACTATGAGGTGAAAGCCTAAAGAGCCTTGTAGTCTGTGTTGCGAGGGTGTAAATGTATAATATTGCATCTAAGATGCTTTTTAAAAGGCAAGGTCTCTGTTTGATGCCATTATAGTGGTTGAAAGAGAGTTTATGAATTGAAAGCAGGTTCTTTATGCAGAGGTTGTGATACCATATTATGCTCTACTATTACCATACCATTAACCCAATCCTCTTACAAGGCTTCTATCTACAGTAGGTACAAAAAGTGCTGCCATACCTGATTAATTGTAGTGGGACTTGTTTACCCTGTCCTTACATTTACTACAAAAACTGTTCTATCAGACTATTGACCTGAAAGACAGCCTACTGCTCCCGTGAAACCAAAGTAAAAAAGCTTTATTCTTGATTACCTTATCAATTAGTTATTATGGTGGTATCAAAATTTGGAGTTCAACTAAAATCGAACTTTTGTATAGGTCCTTAGCAAGAGTTATTAATGTTTCTTATGTAAGATTTTCGTAGTGATTGATGTTGCTGGATTTAGGTTTATCGTAATGCTTGACTAATGTCTTGTTTAGCAAATAACTTTAAGCCAACTTATTCCTATTCAATTTTGTCTTTTACCTTGTTAGATGGGGTTAATGCCAAATTGAAGCAAAGGAGGCAAAGGTCAGTTAAGCCAAGTCGGAGTAAGACTGAATATTTGATATGCCGCTTTGGTACATAGAGGGGGACAAGCGATGATGTAGTGAGTTTGGAAAGAAAGTATTTGACCATGAGTGAGTGTTTTAAATACCTTGGGTCAATCATCCAGAAAAATGGTGACATTGATTAAGGCGTGACTCACAAGATTAAGTCGGGGTGGCTTAAATGGAGAGCGTCTACGAGAATGTTATGTGATCGAAGCATTAAGACTAGTTTTTCTCTATGGTACGAAATGCTTGGCTTCTACGAAGGAGCACATTAAAAAGATCGAGGTTACGGAAACGCGTATGTTAAGATGGATGTGGGGAACACTCTAAGAGATAGAATAAAAATGAATTTAGTCGCAAGAAAGTTGGTATTACAGGCATTGCAAACAAACTAAGGGAAAATTGCATGCGTTGGTTTGGGCATGTAAGATGGAGACCCTAGAGTGTAGAGGTACGAAGAGTGGAAGAGTGGGATCTTGGATAGCTTAAATGAGGTAGAAGGAGATCGAAAATGACTTAGTTTGAAGGAGGTAGGAAGGATATGAAGCATATGGATTTGCATGAGAATGAGGTATTTGATCGTAAGAAATAGAGGAGGAAGATTTTTGTGAATGACTATATGGAATAATCACTTTTGGTTCATGTAGCCGACCCACTTATGAGATTAAGGCTTTGATTCATTGACCTTGTTAATGTGGTCAAACAACAAAAATTATGCTTGATAAATTGCCGTTCATTGGCAAAAAAAATGAAAAATCAAATTGGAGCAACTTTTTTTGGCATTTGCTTTTTTCATGTAAATGATCATTTTGTCCAAAGACTAGAAATTTGTATACTAACAGCTAATAACAATATCTAATTTACCTGGCATCTTTATGTGTTAACCACCTTGCTAAAACAACCTATAGAGACAACATGTAATAATGCCAAGTGAACAAAACCTAAGTTGGTTTAGAATTTCAAGAGATTAAGCTGTTGATAATCTTTTTTACCATTTTCTTCATTGTAATCGTTTTATATTGTAATTCTTAATTTGCTTTGTGGGATAGTATGTTGTGAACTTGTGATTGTAGAATCTTCTAGAAATAATATTTACTGACATTCCTATGGTTCTTTGCTTCACGAGGCATAAAAGTATGATTTTATTTTTTTATTTTTCTTGTGAATCATGATTCCTAGAATATACTTGTTTTCCTTGCTTCTAATTACGTAATTCAATGTAATTGCCATCTAACATCTCCTTTAACTAAATGTTGTTCGAGGAATCTTGATAATCCTTTGTTATTTATTATTCCCCGATCACTTTAAAGTTGGTAACTCTTAGAAAGTGCAAAAAAATATAAAATTAAATAAAAAGATGAACAACTCAGATATGCAACACTTTTGTTCAGCTCCCAAGCAATACTTCCTCCAATTTTTTTTACTTGCAACAGTCTAATTCTCAATTCTCTATTTAATCACAAATATCTTTATTTTCCAATAAAGTAAAAATTATAAATATTTGTCAATATGAGATCATAAATCAAGGTGAACCTAACAAGATTTAACATGACTATGTTCTTCCTTAAATATAAATCATCAAATCTAATCAAAGTAGAGTATGTAAATAGTGTATAAGTCAATGTGTTCCAAGTAAAAAGAAAACGGAGGATGTATTGGTTTGATTTTGGACGTCTAAAGTGTATAGGGTGGAGGGAATATCAAATAGAGTGGTGTGGTTTACATGTATGTTTTCGCATTTGCGCTTTTTTTTTAGCAGTTCTTAAATTAATATAAACAGCTCTAATGTCATTGGGATTAGTATAGTTCTAGAATCAGCCACAAGCTTCCTTTTTGGTTAATTGGTTAAGTGTTCTACTATTGCTGATTCAAAGCTCTCTTAGGTGTGAATCCTAGCTTACCTCTTTTGGGTGTTTTTTCTGTCCTTATGTTCCTATGTGGTTTATTTGCTGTAGTCAGCTTAATTTTCTTTGGATATTGGGGAAGTTGCCTGCGTCACAGTCTGAATTCTGAATGTGAGGTTCTGTATGACTTAGTCTTATACTCTTTAAAGATCCTGTAGGGGTGAATTCTTTCTGTACGTTCCTGTGTGATTCATTTGCTATAGTCAACATATTGTATTCCCAGTTGTTAGAAGTACACTGTAAAGGATTATTTTCTTGAAGTATACTGGATAAGCTTGAGTAGATGGTGGTGCTTTCTCTGGGTTTTGGGGAAGTAGCCTCTGCGTCACACAGTCCAAGTATAAGGTTGGATTCTAATACTATGGATACAAGAAAGCTTATATGATAATTTCCGATTGAGATTGTATGATTAAGACTAAAATGGAAGGCTTCTGGAAAATTGGTGTTTAAAATGACCTCTTATATGGGTGAGCTAGTGACACTTCTGTTTGTAGCCTATCACCTGTTGAGTAGTACATTTGATAGAAAGATAACCTGGATACTTACTTTGGGAAATGCTTCTTGTACTAGCCGCTTAGAGCATGTTTGGTAAGAGGTGTTTTGGGTTAGAAACGGATTCCATTAAATCATTACCGTTACCAAATGCTTGGTTAGAAGGTTTGGGTAACAATTACCGTTACATAGGAGTAATGGTTTCCACCTATTTGTTACCTCTAGAAAACCTAAGGTAATAATTATCCTTTCCCTCAAATAAGAAGAAAGGAAGTTATGTTTAATTGATTTCTTTCCATAGTTAAATTAAACAAAAGAAAAGGTAAGTGTTAAATGATTCCTTTCCTCTCTCTTATTTGTTTCCGTTCTACTCCATTTCCAATATTTATACCAAACGCTCCCTTAGTTTCATAAGTCTCCCCCTCCACAAACTTTTATGGTAAAAATTTCAAAGGTTGGAACGGTTAATCTTTTGTTTTTGAAAGACCATGGACAAGAAAGTAATATATTTTCCATGTATCCTTGTTTGGTTTCCTTATAGTATTACCACAGCATAATGGCTTTCTCTTACAGATTCATCTTTAAACAAGTGCTCATGAGGCCAGAAGGGGGTTTAGTGTGCATAATTCAATCCCTTTTCTCAACACATGGGTCCAGCAAATGTATGTTTTATGTGAGATGAAAACCTGAAAACACGTGCTTACTTATTTATGGAACAGATCCTTGGAACAAAAATGGGCAATTTGGAATTTCTGAGAAGCCTGTTTTCTCACAAGTATTTTTGGCTATGAGTGCGAACTAAAATATAAATATAAATAAATAAATAAAGGCTTAATCTTTATATATCTGAATCATATTTGGCTCAAGAGAGAGATGGGTGCAATCTTTTGTACTCTGTTTAAGTGTATCCATTTTTAGGGAATAGCTTCGACAAATTTATTGTGATTGCTGGTGTGCATGTTCTCAAGACTCAAGCATGTACTTTACAAATTCTTAGTTTGTTAGATGAAGAGGCCTTGGGGAAGGCAGGAATCAGATCTCCTGGTTTACTTTATAACTTCTATGCTATATTATTAGTCTTTGATTTACTTTGTCATGCAATCTGGAAAAAAAAAACAAAAAAAAAGATCAAGCTGCTTAATGCTACATGCAACTTTGTGTTGTTACACATAGTAGTTCGTTATTCTAGTAGCACTTCTATATTAGCCTTCTCATCTGCTAGTTTCATTTTCAGTTATAACTTACAAATTTCCTCAATCCCACCTCTGATTTTTTTTTAATTTTTCAATTGTTACAGCAGAAACAATCAAAGTTATGTTCTTATGTTGCTAAACACTTAATCTCTTTGTTATCATAATTTATCTTCAAATTATGTTAAATGTGACTACATTGAGTTATCATGGCTCTGTAGTTAGTGATTGATGTATGGCTTGATTCATTCCTGATTTTGTTGACCTGACGACTTTTAATGTTCAGATTCTTCTAAACCCCCTTTATCTTCCTGGCTCGCGCATTGCATCATCACATTTTGATACAAAAGTCCGAGCCCTAGCCAGAAAATATCTGTGAAGCAGAAGTTGAATGCAAAATGAGCAGATGCTGCTATTGGATGAGACAAACAGTTTTCTTCTCAAGCTTTCTTTGGCTGACATTTCAGTTTGAAGTCAGGTTATAAAACATTCTAGTTTATACCAGGTCCTGTTATGGTGTAATGATGTATTGCCCTTTTTTTTCTTCTTAAAATGTTAAAAAGTAAAACTGGTTAGCCATCCTTGTAATTTTGGCATCTTTGATATAATTTTCTTTTGCAACACAAAATAATGTTGTCTTAGGTTTGTAGAATGACTTCCATTGTTGATCTAAGGTTTTGACCGAAACATACATGTTAATTTTCAAGAGAAGAAAGATTGGTGAGCATTCCTTTCTCATTCCTCCACATCACTTGCAAGAACAATTTGTATCAATTCTGAAATATGGTTCATTGAAAGTAATTAATATTAAGATTTCTTCAAAAAAAAAAAAAAATATTAAGATTGAACATAAATTATGCACACTTGCCATCTTAGAAATTGGTCTGTGCTAATATACCAACAACATGCCAGCTAATGAATGCTACAAATATGACAATTCTCGTCAGCAAAAGATGATTACTTTTTTTATAAACCCTAACACACAAAAATACCCTGAACAAAAACAAATAACTTAACTAACAAAAACTAACAACTCTACCATAGGGAGACACTTCACCATAGGGAAACGGACAAATTTTTACAATAGTACTTGTGTAGTTTATTGAAACTTAAATTGCAAAACCAAAGAAAATTAAGGGAAAATGGTCGAAAATAGTCTTACCCCGAAGAAATTAAATTATTTCCGTCTAAATGGCTACAACTTTAGAACACTAAAATAGAGGAAGAGAGAGAAGGAGAGGAGGAAGAGAGAAAAAATTGATAATAATATTAAAACTAATACGAAGTATACTATTAAAATAAAGAAAACTAATAAAAAGAGAAAAGAAATTAAATAAAAAGAAAAGGAAAGGAAACTAAAAATAAAAACCAAACGTCTCTTGCTTCTTCCTCGATTTTCTTTTGTTCCTCTTCAATCAGCTTCAACACCACCACAATCAAGAGCATTCTAAATCAATCGACACCATTAATCATCATTGATTATAGCCTTTGTACGATTAATCTGTACGATTAGACCCATAAAAATGGAGCAGCCGCGCGAACCCATTTGAGCAGTCACTCCTTTGTTTTTGCCCCGAACTAGAACAACTGGACTATGGAGCGCCCGCGTCAAATTATAGAGTGCCCGTTCCACATTTGCTCTGCTTTTTTGGGTTAAATTGTCGCTTGATGCCGCAAATTGGATAAGGTTGTCCCCTTGTTACGGTTGTTACGGTGGTGTGGGTAATTGTTATGGTGGTGTTGGAGGAAAGGCAATAGCGTATACAGGAATTCAAAAGTGCGGGTTCATAATCGTTAAAAAATAAGATATAGGTCCTCTATGTATTTTAATTGCAACGTTGGTGATTTCACCATTGCCAATGTACATTATATAACCTAAATATCTTAAGTTATATACTTCCTTCGTTTAATTGACACATTATAACTTTTACACTATTCACTACTACACTTTAACTATTAAATTATAGAAAACCAAAAAAGATGGAATCTCCTAAATCCGATGTCAAGCGGACGAATGCAAAATTGTGAATGGTTGGAGAGAGATCACAGGAAAATTCGAACATCTGGTATCAAATTAGTGAAATACAGAGGCACTGAAAGTGTGAAAGCTATTTTGTGGAAGCTGGCCACTCGCTACGTCGTGTGCATAGAAAAGCTCTTAAAGTTTAAAAAGCATAAAGAAAGTAAAGTAAGAAGGAAATGCGCCTTCTCCGATTAGAAGGTTACGGGACTCCTTTTCATACAAAATGGACTACGATAGGATAGGGAGGAGTGGAATGAGAGACTACGAAAGTGAGTCAAACCCACAGAAAAGGAAAGAACTCAATCTAATCACTCCAGGAAAAGCAAGTGCACCTTTGAGAATCCGACTAAAGGTTGGGGGGATGGGAGGACAACTGATAAAACTTAGACAAGTGAGATCTTGTTTGAATCGTCTCATTGTATATTTTATTAATATCCACTTTTACAATTTACAATGTCGAGATCAGAGCTATTAATCGTTAAAATAGTACGTTGGCAAGCGTGATAAAGAATGGTGTCAGTTAAATAAAAATGATGGGAGTATTATAATTTTCTAAAAATTATAATTGTTGATATCATGTATAAAAATATTTTTCGAGAAGAATCTAATAAGATCTGACTTGATTATATATATTTTTTCCAACGTATGAATCACAAAAAACGATCAAAGAAGTATATGTGTAATTATTGTAAAATTACAAACGTTGCAACTTGCAATCACAAAAGAATGTAGGGAGTATAATTATAAATAGATACGTTCAAATTCTGGCTTACAACAAATAACACATAACTTAATACAATTGAATACATTTTGAAAAAGGGGATCTACAAAAGCATTCTGGTTTTTATAAACTTCGGAATATTTGGGGGTCGTTTGGTTTGCACGGGATAAACGGAATGGAATGAACAAAGGGAATGAAATGGAATGGAATGAAAATCCCTCAAATGTATTATGTTGTTTGGCTGTAAAAAACAATGGGAATCACTAGATTCAACACACCCACACACCCTCACCGCGTTTTCGAAGGCTGTGGTGGCTGGACGGAACCCTAACCCCCATCCCTACCCCTCGCCGCCCATCCCTAACCCCTCGCCGCCCATCCCTAACCCTTCCAACTACACGGTGGTCGACTTAAAAGGGTTTCTAGGGTCGGGGTGACATTTTCGAGGAGAGGGGGTGGCGCTTTCAAGGGCTATGCGTGGGTGTGGGGAAGGTTTTCCGGGGAGGGAAGGTAGTTTCAGGGGGCGACGAAGGGTTAGGGAGGGGCAGTGACTGGTGCGACGTGGGGATGGCCGAGATAAGGGAATTTTTTCGAGGGAGTTGAGGGGATGGCCGGCGAGGGGTGGGGGAGTTAAGGGGATGGCCGGCGAGGGTTGGGGGAGGTGCGGCAAAGGGTAGGCGGTGGTGCGGTGGTGCAGTTTTCCGGTGATGTGGGTAGGTAGGAGGGTGGTGGTATGGTGGTGGCCAAGGAATGGAATGGAAATACCTTGGGGGGGTGGGGAATGAATTTGGAGGGATTTGGGGGAATGAAGGGGGAAAGGGGAAATGGAAAAGTGGCCTAACAAACAACAACAATGGGAATGATTCCCGTTGATTCTCATTCCCTTTGTTGAATACCCCCAACCAAACGGCCCCTAAGAATATAGATCTATTCTCTCATCAACTTTCTTCCTTTTCTCTTTAATTTTATAACAATATTTTTTTAAGGATATTTCTATTAGAGATAACTATTGCCTTTAAAAAGTTTAATTAATTACATATAGCACACATTAACCATAATTTCAAGGTCCGTCACTATAAGGAATCTCTATGCTCAACTACCCAAGTTACATAACAAACCAAATCAAAACGAAACAAAGCTAATTGCAATTATAGCATTTAATCTAGCAACTAGGACCATGCTACATGTATCATAACAATCAATACGTCGTAGTAGACCTCTCTATCTCAAGGATAAACGATTATACACACAATACTTGTTACTTCGGAGTACTCCGTACTAGATAAACTCTTTAATACGATAAATAAATCATCATAAAGATGAGAATAAAGGAGCATAATATAATTATAATAGATGAGTACAATAGTGATGTATCATGAAATTATGGGCATTTTGGACCTCCTCTTTTGGTCTTCCAATTGTTGTAACAAGGGCATACACTTTAATTCCCATAATACCCCGGAGGCACACACAAGCATTTCCTGCAACACTTCTAACAAAAGAACATGCATGGCTTGTGATATTGAGTCTTGCTACACCTTCTTGTGCAATGTGAAGGGCATTCTGGTCATTTTACATCATACAAATTACATGATGGTCAATTTGTTAGGTTTCTGTTTTCTCCGTCATAGTATTTAACAGTCAACGAAGATAGTTTGACTCAAAACAGATAACTAATAACTTAAAAAATAAGGTGTACGAACAAAGAGCTAATTCAACATTCTCACACTTAATTTTTAACACTTTTCTTCACGAGTTAATTCTCAATGCCCCCATCATAATAAATGACTAGAAAATGAAATTTATATTCACCTACATATAAGCATGAATTTGCTAAGCTATTAATGTAGTTCACGTTCCCTATGTTATGTAGTCTCTAAAGACTCAAAATTGGTTAGCATTTGAGAAAAATAATCAACAAGGTTTGAGGTCTAATATTTTAATCGGAGTACAACTTTCATTTCTTGAAATTTTTCTTGTTTATTTAATCATTTTTCTAATATAAAAAATAAAAAATAAAAACTTTATGAGACGAAAGAAGTATAATAAAAGAGGGTCCTCTTTACTAATTAAAGATTATACGGTATATTTAAACAATACTCCCTCCATTTTTAAATACTTCCTCCACTATTCATTTTCGGCCATTTTTAAATACTTGCTCCATTTCCTTATTTGGAATTTTTTTATAATATTTAATTCATTTCTCTCAACAAGTAGGTCCAATATAAATCATATTTTATTAATTTCATATTCTCTTTCCTCCAATTCTCTCAACTACTTTTGCTTTTTATTATTTTTTTCTTCCACCTACCCCACTAGCTCCATATTTTATTACTTCTTCCAATTTCTCCTTCAGGTGATGCATACTTTTTATGGTTAAGTCTTAGACCTTCAACATTTTGGTCGTATATTTCACAAAATAAATATTAAAATTCAAATTAATTATAAATCAGTAATTTTCCAAAAAAAAATTGCACGACTTCAGATACTATGGGAATTAAAACTAAGCAATTTACTTTCTCCAGTTCTCCAAGAAATTTAGACGAAAACAAATCTTCAAGAAAGAAATAGAATGTTTTATCAAAAAATAAGAAAGAAAGAAAGAAAGAAAGAAAGAAGAGAAAAGAATGAACACTTTTCAACATTTTCATGCTAAGTCGTACAAACAAGTTTTCAAAAATGGCCAAATTCATACTTTAAGTTTGTAATTTATCATACACAAAAAATAATACACTAAATTTATCTTAAGTTTGTAAATTAGGAGAATTAAAGCACATGTTCAAGTAAAAAGAGCATGGCATTCAATCATTCATACTTATAATAAGAGTTATAACACAAGAAAATTAAGAGAGTAAATGAAATGAACTTACGAGTGCTTTTCACACTCCCCGGGCCATATGAACCCTGAAATCAAACAAATGGTACACTGCACATGTTATAACACAATATAATTTCTTGCTTATCGCCTCAGATAGAGAAACCCGATAAGTATTATGTGAGTCGGACTTACCTTGTTGACGTGGTTCTTTGCATTAGTGGCCAAGACCTGTTATGCAATTAAGATCAAGAGTGAGTAAGTGGAAAGGAAATTGTAAGAAAAAGTGCTACATTGTGTTTTATGACCAAATAAAATCTAAAAGATTCGAATTAAAACGAAATTAAGGTGGGATTTACCAAATTTTGCAACAAGGCAAAGGAGACGAGAGCCAAGAGAAAAACAGCAAAAACTGATTTGGTCATTGTTGAGAGAAAAACAAAAGTGTAGATATTGGTGGAATACTGGAATGTAAAGCACTAAAGCTTGAGGTTAGTGTAGCCCATAAATAGAAGCACCTACAAAAGAGAACAAAACCCATTTACTTTGGCATGTGCTTTTCAATCATTACGTGTCACTTAGACATTAGTCCATTGCTAGGAAGGGTGTTTTTTCGATTCTATTCAGTTTTTTTTTTTTATTTTTTATTTTTTTTAATGCAATATTCACTACTTTCTTAAACTAGTAGTGTTTTTTAAAGGAAAAACTAAAATGATTAATCCCACATTTGTTACTTCTCAAAACAATCTCATTTTTGAGTAATCTGTAAATAATCTCACCTTTGTCCCTATCACCTCAAAATAATTACTAGACCAGTTTGTTAGGTTGGTAATCGATTTTTAAAGGTGACTTGTCATGTGTCATTTTCTAATTGGTCCTATTTTTTTATAATTAAAAAACAAAAAATAAAACTAATTACAAAAAAAGCCCCTTCTCGTCTGATTCCCACTTCCCAGTCCCGGGCCCACCCCATGCCTACCGCTGAAGCAGACCTTCTCCCTTCCCCATTGAACATCACCCCCTCCCGTCAAACAACAACCAGAGCAACCACGTTTAGGGTGCGTGATTGGGTATCTCGGGCTTAGGGAGTTTTGTGGGTGGTTGAGTTAAGGAGTTGCTAGGGTGGTCGAGTTAAGGAGTTTTCAGGGTGGCTGGGGTGGATGAGTTACGCGATTTTGTGGGTGTTTTTTTTAAGTTAATTTCATGGGTGGTTAGGTTGATAGGGTTTAGACGGTTTCAGGGTTAGGTGGGAGGTTCAAGTATGGTTTGGTGGGGGTCAAGGGTTTGGTGGTTTGGTGAGAGGGGGTAAGGATAGGAATTTAGGGTGGAGGTCATATGGGATTAGGGTTTTGGGTGGAGGTCAGGTCATTGTGGTGGTGGTTATGGTGTGGTTGCCATTGAAGGGGTTGGGGAGGGGAGAGGTAAGAGGAAAAAGATTTAAGAAATAATAAAAAAAATAATAACTTGTTAAACAGATTGTGGGTAAAAATGATCGTTTTGAGTAGATGAGGGTCAAAGGTGGGATTGTTTCCAAAATAAAAAAAAAATTAAGAGAAGAAGGACAAATTCTTTACTGAATCATAGTGCCTATACAAAGTTCTACAAAAATAACCATTAATAAAAGATTCCAATTACCAACTGTAAGGCCCTCTAGCAATAATATATTGAGCATATTAACTTGTAACAGATTTTAAAGAGCTAAAGCAGTACTAGATCCGATTTTACTTTTTAAACTTAAATCTATTAAATACATTTGCTTATAAAAATTTGTACAAAGATGAGATATACATTATGGATATCCAATTCTATGTACTTCAGATCTAAAACTATTCTACAGGTGTGTTGATTTGATCTTCATCTGTAGCAAATTCTTCTATCTTTGTGATTCCACTTGAAACAACCTTCGGCCTTCAGTTTAAGAACTGAATGGGAATCAAGTTTGAGTACAACCTTGTTTGATTTTGGTGTAGATTTCATAAAAACTCTGGGAAAGTCTTGGATAGTATCAATCATAAAAGTTTCTACATCAGCACAAACTACTTCTTATTCATCACCATTCCATACTATGATATTCTGATGCAAAGATGAGCACAAGTCTGGTGCAATTATTCTCTTCCTAGGATTACAAGATGTCTCTCCCCTAACTATAAAGAAAGTTGATGTAGTCTTAGTTGTACCTGCTACTTGGATATTGATGCATGCAAATCCTTCAGTATTTTCATATTTTCCATTGAATCCACCAATGTTAAATTAGACACTAGCCAAATCTTCCTTACTTTTACCAATTTAATGAAAGATAGATAGTGGCATTAAATTTATAGTAGCACCAGCGTCAACTAACACTTTACCTAGATCAACTCCTTCAAAATTCACAGTGATAAACAAGGGTTTATTATAAGCATTATTAACATTGTAATCTCACAACAAATGTTGTATGACTAATGGCTCTTGATCACGAGTTACTATTTCTTTAGTAGGTGAACTAACTATTGCTTATTCAATTTAGCTGATATAGTAAAGAGTTTGTACTTACCTTTGACATCTCTATCTCTATCTCTATTTCTTTAGCACTTGAGTCATAAACTCCGCTGGAAAAGTGATGGCATGATAATCTGTCTCACACTCTTCTATGGAATATATACTTTGCTAAGAAATCGAGGTCTGACTTCGACACTTCCAAATCTTAACCCTCTAGGTCATAGTTTGCTAACTCAAGAGTCAAGGCAAGCAAGGAACTTCTACTAAGGGCCTAATCTCCGCCTCCCAAATACACAATCCTTCATAATTAATAAAGATTGCAAAAAGAAAAAAATTATTGTTAATATTACACATTTTTTTTGTTTATAATATAAGTGTATTACAGAGTATTATATTTACTATTTTATTTTACATATTTTTTTTTTATAAAATAGTATATAAGTATATAATTTTGTTTTTAAAAATATATGGATGTGGGGATGGGACGGGTACGAAGTTGGGTAGGTGGGGATGGGGCGGGACGAAGTGGGGCGGGTGGGGATGGGGCGGGTACAACCTAAAATCCACCCCGCCCCATCACCCATGGCGAGTATGATTTTTGTCCCCATCCCCGCCCCATCACCCGCCAAACCAAGACCCAACGGGGCGGGGATGAAGCAGATCTCCTGTTTAACCTGCCCCACTGACATCTCTACTCTAAATTGTTTAACCCAAAAAAAAAGGGAGGGATTAGAGAAATTTCGAAAGTTTTGAGTTTTGTGGTTGAGAGGGCGTTTTCGTTGAAACGGCGCGTAGCATCCATCTTATATCCCCAAAACGCTATTTTGCCTTTTTATTAGCGGAATCCTATTTACATTTCTCTCATCTCTCTCTACAATTTTTCCAGCTTATTCTCTCCTCATTATCCCCCCTTTCCCTTTCTCTCTCCTCTTTCTAGGGTTAGGGTTTACTTCTTCCGCTTGGCGATTCAATTTCAAAGCTTCAACTATGGCGATTGAGACTCCTTTGTCTCCCTATCATTGCTCGGTATCTTCTCTTTCAACTTTTTAGATCAAGTTATGACTTGATTCAGTGCTTTTTCTGGTAATTTCTCACTGCTTTTTATGAAAAACTACTTTTTTTTTGGTGATTTTTTATATGGGAATTATTATTTTTTGGGTTCAAATTTTGAATTCTCGCTACAGTTGTTATCGTTTTTTTAGGGTTTTGAATTGTTTGATTGTTTGATGGCGAATTGTTATCGAATTTGGGTTTAATCTGTAAATTGCTGTTTTCTGGATCTGCCAGTGTTTACAGGTAAAATTATTGTAAAATGGGGTCCAATTGCTAGTTTAAAATTTTAATTTTGGTGTTTTCTGTAAGATTTTTTTTTTTTTTTTTTTATTTCTCGTTGCCCTTTTGTTCTTTTCGTGTTTCTGGGACTCATTTCATATTCCTTTTTGTTTGGGATTTTTGTTGTGTTGTTGAAGCTCAATAAACGAAGTTCTCCTTTTGTTGAAATTGAAGTTGAATTTAGGTGTAGTGTTGTATGAAAGTGAATAAAGTATACACTCCATTTTCATGTCTTGAAGTATGCTACGGAGATGATTCTCTGTTATTATGTGTCGTTAAGCATGCAATTTTGTCTTCTGAATGCTTTTTTTTTTATAGACATAAGATGTGGTTGATATGTGCTGATTCGGTACCTGTGCGTTTGCAGGGTGGCAGTCTTGGATTCGAGATGTATGCCGTTTCTGATAATGGAAATACTGAGACTTACATGGTATGCTGTTGTGGATTACTCGTGATGTAATGGTTTTTGAACTGCCCTGTGTATGTATTTGTAACCATTTTTGTGTGTTCAGATGCCAGGTACTGAGTTGAACCCTCGCTTACCCAGTCCAGTTATCGAAAACTTTCAAATGATGGCTAGTGATGGATCTGCTGCTGACTTTGTTGTCGATCCGAGTTTATACTATCCTGCTGCCCCCACCTATGGCTATTATTGTACAGGTGTTGCATTGCTCTATTTGTTGTTTTAAATAGAAGCTGATATTAAATAAGGGTCTTACCAGCCTAATTAAATGTGCAGGATTTGAATCACCTAGCGAATGGGATGACCACCATGCAGTTTTTGGTGTAGATGGTGCAGATATCCAATATGCGGTGAGATTAGATTTTATGCTGAGCTTTATATTATCGTGGATTATTTTCTTTATGTTTGTGCTCTTCTAAATTCAATTGTTTTTCTTTTCCATTCAGGGTGCACAAAGTGAAAATCTGCCTTATGTGTATTATACTCCTAGTTATGGAATGGGAGACACTCCATTTAACCCGTACAATCCTTATATACCTGGTGCTATGGTAGGTGTTGATGGACAACTGTTGGGGACACAACCTTACTATGCCGTATCACCATATCCCAATTCCGCCTCGTCTTCTGGATACTTCCCTGTTCTTGTCCAATCTGGTCATGATGCTGCAAGTAGTGCTACAGACACCATGTTAAATGTTGCTCCATCTACCATGAATCGATCAAATGGTTCTACTGTAAAGCGCACTCATTCCTCTTCCCCTGCTGCATTCTCCATGAATTCTTCTAAAGCTGCTTCCAGCCAGACGCATGCACTCACAGGAGCATCACAAGGTTCTAAAATTAGCACTGGAACAAGCAAGAGGCCTATGAGTAATAGAAGTGGTGGTTCTATTGGGTCTGTCCATGGAGCTTCGTCACATGTACCTCAGGTATGCCTTTAATGATGGGTCATTGTCCCTGTGAATAAAAAATTGCTTATGTTTTCTAATAGATTTGATAAAGGAGATCCATGTATCATGAATTGAGAATGACTATTGTTTTATTTGTTTATGTTATTGTACATTGACAAATGCTAATTTCTCCCATATTTCTATGCTAGGATGTGTTATCTTAGTTTTTATTCTTTTTTTTAGTTGGTCAAATATAAGTATGCCTTTTGGCATTGTTTTACTTGTTGAACCTTTTTTGTCCTAACAATTCATACCTTTATATATTTTTATTGAGGTTTTGTTATTCGTGTTCATCTCCTTTCTCCTTTTGATCAATCTGAAACTGTTGTCACCCCATATAATTACAGGGTGGAAATGCTCCAGAGTCCTTGCAATCTGCAAGGAACATTTCATATGGGAAGCTTTTATCTCAAGCTAATCAAGTGAAATATTCGTATCCTATGGGTGGTGGTTTGTCAGACTATGGAGCAAGTACCAATGGTCAAGCTGTTTTGAATGACTGGTCCAAATATTATTACAGAAGACCTAACGATAGTAACGGTAATCTTGATCAGTTGGGAGAGCAGAACCGAGGGCCTAGAACCAACAAATCAAAAAATCAACTTATTGTAAAAGCGTACACAACACGGGCTGGGGACCGTAATGCTGAAGGAAATATTGTAATATCTGCTGATCAGTACAACAAAGATGACTTTTCTGTGGATTATGCCAATGCAAAGTTTTTTGTCATAAAATCTTACAGTGAGGATGATGTGCATAAGAGCATTAAGTATAATGTATGGTCATCCACACCCAACGGGAACAAGAAGCTAAGTATTGCTTATGAAGATGCTCTAAATTTAGCTAATGGTAAACCAAGAGGCTGCCCAGTCTTCCTCTTCTTTTCTGTAAGTGTTTTTGGTAGGAGTATAATATATTAATATTAGAGACTTTAATTTTATCTATCGTCTCTTTTAATGTTTTTTTTACTTATCTGAGTTGTCTTAAATGCAGGTTAATGCAAGTGGGCAGTTCTGTGGTGTTGCAGAGATGATAGGCCCTGTTGATTTTGATAAGGATATGGACTTTTGGCAGCAAGATAAGTGGAGCGGAAGCTTCCCTGTTAAATGGCATATTATCAAAGATGTACCAAACCCCACTTTTCGTCACATTATACTGGAAAACAATGAGCATAAGCCTGTGACTAACAGCAGGGATACGCAAGAGGTATATCATGTTTATCTATATATGTCATTGAACCTGTTGTCGTGGTTTAAGGACTAGATTAGTAGTTGCTTTGGTTTGGGGGGGGGGGGGAATGTGGGTGGTCAATTTATACAATTAATAGCCTTGATATGTGTCTATTTCACGTTTTCCCTATGATGCTCTCATTTTATTGACGTTAAATCTGAGTTGTATTTTCATCAAGCAAATTATAAAGTCAGTTGATGATAATGGGTGGACGAATTTTCTTCCTGGATTGTTGGCATATTATTTAGGATAATGTTTTGTTGGGCATGTGGTGAACTGGTGATTTCTGATGGATTCGATTTTCAATAGGTGACATGGGAAGTTACATTTGATGTGTGTGTTTATTTCACAGTTTTTGAAAAGCAGTAATATTTATATTTGATTTGAACTTAAATCCCCTGATAAAGAAATAGGGAAATTTAGCAAAGGTAGTATCTATTTCTCTGCAAGTTTTGGCAGATGTAATTGAAATGGGAATGACAGAATTGATCTGCAATATGAGAGAAAAAAACAGGAACCTAGCTTGGCCTTTTGGATGGAAACTGAGTGTTAGAAATTACTTAAAGCTATATCATCAAGTTTTCCTTTTTTGAACAAGTTTGGAATTTTATTTTTATGATTCTGTAAGCAGAAGTTGATTAAAATGCTGTTTCATCTTAACTTGCCATGACATCCCATACTCTGGCTTATCAGTAATTGGTGTTGCATTGGTTCTCTTTTAATATCACTAGGGTGGCTAGCGTGCGCCGTAGCTACCCATATCCGGATAGCTCTTTTATTAATGATGGAAAATTTTTACATAAATATTTATAGGGATATAATTATATAAATGTCTGCACACTATTCTTTAGAGTTAAAAAAAAGGCAAATAACATTATTGAGCGCAAATAAGTAAGTAAATATTTTAGAGGGTATAATTGTCCAAACAACTCATTAGTGTTATCTCAAACTATTTAAAAGGTAGGGATACTTGATTCTTGAAATGTCTGGGTATTTGTTAAGTTGATGTTATGCTTTACATGAGCTTAAGATTTTTGTGTATATTGTTTTGTGTAGATAATGCATAGGCAAGGTGTGGAGATGCTTAAGCTATTTAAGAACTACACGTCTAAAACATCTCTACTGGATGACTTTATGTACTATGAGAACCGACAGAAGATTATGCATGAAGAGAGAACTCGTATATTTCGCAGGGCTAATGGACATGTTCATCCAATTGAGACTCCTCTCAAGCATAATTCTGCTATGGATCATTCCCAGAAAGTAGATGAGGTTGGTACCTGGGTTGAGAAAGGTGTACAGCCCAGTAATTCTAGTGGTTTGAAAACACTGATCAAGTCAGAGGTATCATCTGGTGATGGTGTTCATGTGCCTGCTGCAAGCACGGGGCGGGATCCCTCAGAGGTGCCGACGGGCAATGTTTCTACCTTGAAGTTTGGTTCGTTATGTATCCATCCTAAGCCAAGTGAACGGCAGTCAGCAGCACCTGCTACTTCATCTGCTGCTGCTGCTGCTCCTGCTCCTGCTCCTCCTCCTGCTGTTTCTAAGAGCTCTAATGCTGCGTCGAATGTAGTAACAGTAGGTTCTATGCCGATCAAAGTTGATGGAGCCAATGTGTCGACAGAAACACTTACTATTGGGACTATTGCACTTGATCCAAAAGCATTGCAGCATGGAAAGGTTGGTTCTGTTAAAGGGGCTGTACGAAAGTAAATATGGCGGGGAGTATCGTGGAGTGTGGGTCCGCGGGTGTCTATAATGTGGTTGATGTCTTGGAGTTGAGGGTTTAGTTTTTGTTTTCGACAAAGGAGTGTACCATATCCATGTCTTGTGGCAATATTGCGATAGTTCTAGGAGTTTTCCTTTATTTTCTCTATGCATTTTTTTGGGGAGGTGGGGAGTGGGAGGATTGCGATGTGAGGTTGGCCGGGCTGTATTGAGGGAGTGGTGGTAAGTCAGATTGATTTTGATGTGGACTTTGAACGGTTTAGGTTTTGTTCATGGAAGAAGCAGCTCTTTTGGGTTCACCTTTTGGCCATTTTAAGTTCTTATACTTGATGTAACAGTTGAAAAGTCATGATTTTTGTTGGCAAAAATATTGCTGATGGTTTCTGTTAATTTGGATTCTCTAATGTCATCAAAATTTCAATACATTGTACCTGGGAAAGATCTCCAGTTGCTAATTTCTTCCAAAAAAAACAAAAAAACAAAAAAAATCGTGTATGTGCATTATATTTCCTTATAATTCTTATGCTTAAAAGTACTTTGTAGTTTTGTGTTAGGAAGATTTCTTAATGCCCGCTTTTTCTACTTTTATAAAAAAAAAAAAAGGTGACGTGTTCAAAGTAATTGTGGACTTGTGCAGCAATTATCAAATTTCATTTTATTTGCTCCACTTTGACCAAAATTAGTCAAATAAGCTTAAGTAAGTTTGAGAGTATTTTGTTTGTTTTTTTTTTGTTTTCCTTTCTTATTCTTATATTACCTCCTTTTCTTTTTGTATGTTCGTTAAGAAAAACAAAGGAAATTTTGTCTAGAACTACTCTAAAGATGGGGTTATTTGTAAACAATTATCCATTTTTTTTTTGTTTATTTAGAATTACCTGTAAGTTATTAAACGTTTAGGTAGCACTACCTAGTAACGTTTTCCGTCCAATTAAGACGTTATTGGGGCCTATTTTTTCACCTTTTCCACCTAATTAGCTCCCCAACTACCTTCTCCCTCTTCCTCTCTCCTCCCTAATTAATTTTCCCTCCATTCTCACTTAAAAAATATAAGAGAAGATAATCAAGCAATTGAACGCAATTTCTCGGTAATTCAGGCAGTGTTTCACACTTTTTTATTAATTCATTGTTTGTTGTGTTTGTTTACAAGTTTTAATTGAATGCAATTAACATAATTAGGGTTTAAATTAGTGATTCAAATTAGGGTTTATGGGTTCAAATAAATTTGGGGGTTTTGATTTATAGGGGTTTATGGGTTCAAATAAATTTGGGGGTTTTGATTTCTAGGGTTTGGGGGTTCAATTGAGTTCTCGGTTTCGGTTATTTTGGCTTTGAGATTGAATTCAATTAAATTAGTGATTCATATTAGGCATTAGGGTTTATGGGTTCAAATAAATTTGGGGGTTTTGAGTTCAAGGTGAAATGAGGAAGGTGAAAGAAGAGAGTGAGAATGGAGGAAAATTAATTAGGGAGGATAGAAGGTAGTTGGAGGGAGTTAATTAGGTGGAAAAAGTGGGCCCCAGTAACGTCTTAATTGGACGGAAAACGTTATTGGGTATTGCTGCCCAAACGTTTAATAACTTACGGGTAGTTCTAAATAAATAAAAATAAAACAGGTAGTCGTTCACAAATGACCCTATCTTTACTTCTTCAGGGTAGTTCTAGACAAAATTTTCAAAAACAAATGAGTATTTTATGTCACACTGATAATACCTAGAAAAGGAAATACGAGTAATATATTTTATTTTGAAGTCTGCATTATTGCATGAGTATGCCACGTATGACGAATCTCTTGTGTAGAAATGATTCACTCTTGTTTTGGGCAATCTTGTTAGACTTTTGGATGGAAATGCGGAGTGGCTAGTTGTTATAGTGAGTTCTTTTAGCTTGTGTTACACTAGCCACATAGAAGCAATGGATTGGTAATGAAACATTTCGCTATCGCTCATATCTTCGGTTATAATGTGACTATAATAAAGAAATAAATATTGTCTTATTAATGTTATAGATTAGGGAATGAATGGAAGAATCCATTTGACACATGAGAACATAAGCATCATTGCTTCACAAGTAATGCTTATTAAACCTATCTGTACTTCAGATCATCATAATTTGTTTTCTGTGCTCTTGTGTATTAATTGCTTGTGTATCTCATGAACATTACTATGTTTATAAACAATGTTTTTCTAATTTTACGCCTTATGAAATCGGTAAATCCCTGTTACTGTGAGTAACAGGTTTGTTACTCATTGTGGCATTTCGGAAATTAAGTGGAAGTTTCCCACTTCCTGAGTTGCTGAATTGGATTCGTCTATGTGTCAAGTTGCTGACTGTATTGCTGAGTGGGGGACATCCTTCCGTCAATCAGGTGGATGGCGTTACCTTGTTGACGTTTTGGCGGGAAAATATTTACAGCTTCCATACCTAGAAGCTTGTTCAGAGAATTAGCAGCTAGTTTTCCGATCTTCACTCATCGGCGTTTTGTACAGCTTCCAGACCCAATAAACAGACCCAGTTGGAAACCACACGGACATATTTGAATTTAGAGGTATTTTTCCGATCTATTTAAGCGTCGCATGTTGCAGTTGTGAGTTTTGTTTTGTTGTTGTCTTGCGCCCACAATTCATGAAATTGAGCTCATAATCTCGACCGCAATCGGAATAATTTTGAATGTAATTGGATGTTAAGGACTTTTTCCTCTGTTAAAATGGGGTTGAGGTTGACGGAAATGGCTGGAGGATTTTGTTTAAAATGTAATTTTTTACCTTTTCAAAACAACGTGTTGTCTTCGTATGTTTTTTTATAAAATCCCTGTGTTGATTTGTGAGGTTATGTGAAAATTGGTTGTGTTGGTTGTTCAATTGGTTGGTTGATTTGTGTCGGTTGGTTATATTTTTGTGTTGGGTTGAATGTGTGCTGTGAAAACTTGTTTGGTTGATTTGTGTTGAATTTTATATTATAATTATGTTGGCGTTCTGTATTAACTTTTGTCGTAGTAATTATGTTGGTGTTCTTTATTTGAAGGGTTAATTGTTTTTGTTGAAGAAGATTGATATTATGGAAATAGAAACAGAAAGCGTTATTAGGGGCAGTGAGGTTGGTGTTGGTGATTGTGGCAATGGAGTTAAGTTTCGGAGTAACGTCCATATGGAGGAGGATATGGACGACGTAGATGATGCAGGTAGTCTTGCACTTGACATGGATGTTAGGTATTTATCCCCCCTGGAAACAATTCATACGACGCACATTGTGGTTGGTAGCAACGAAATATCTGTAGTTGTTGAGGAGCCTAAGGAAGAGATGGTTTTCCAGTCTTGGCAACAGGTTGAAGCCTACTATAAGGACTATGCTGAGCAGGTGGGGTTTGGAGTGACAAGGGCTCAAGGTGTAAATTCTAGGACGGGGGACCAAACAAAAATCAAAGTCACGTGGAAGTGTGAGTGTTGGGGAAAACCCGACATGAGGGCTAGGAGAGAAGCGAAGAAGAGGGCAAAGGCAATGAGTCATGGAGGTTCAGGTGGTTTAGTTGATGGGGTGGTATGTGAGGAGGAATTAAGTGGTATGAAGAGGACTTCGAAAAAGTGCGAATGTCAGGCCCGTGTTTATGCTAAAGTTAACGAAGATGGCTTTTGGGAGTTAAAGAGCGTGGAACTAAAGCATAATCACGCGATTGATCCGGCAAATTATAAGCTTGTTAAGGAGTACCGCATGAGGCAAATGACCTCCAAAGTGAAGAAGACGCTTACGAGCAAGATGTACCAATTTCTCAAATACACGGTTTCATGGCGACCGAACGAAAGGGTAACATGGATCTGACAATAAAAGATTTACAACATGAGGTGTACAAGGCTAGGCGGTTGAAGATGGTAGGAGGGGACTCGGTGGCAATGATGGAGTGCTTTGACAAAATGCAAACCGGGAACCAAATTGTTTTCCATGCTCAACGTTTGGATGAAGAAGGGAGGCTTAAGGATGTGTTGTGGGTGGATGCAAGAAGTAGGGTGCTTATGAGGACTTTGGTGATGCGGTTTTCTTCGACGCAACATACCTAACGAATGAGTACGAGCTCCCGTTTGCGAACTTTGTTGGTGTGAACCACCATGGGCAATCGTTGTTGTTGGGATGTGCTCTTGTTTCACATGAAGACTGTGATACGTTTGCGTGGATATTTCGAAAGTGGTTAGCTTGCATGAACAACCGAGTTCCTAAAGCCATATTGACCGACCAAGCGGCAGCTATGCGGAGGCCCCTTGCTGAAGTCATGCCAAACACGGTGCATCGTTGGTGCATATGGCATATCATGAGCAAGATCCATGAGAAACTAGGCAAGTGTGCCCGGTATGTTGTGAAATTCCTCCTCCTGCCTGTACAATTTTCAAGGTCTTGATATTAGTTTCCAAGGCGTAATAATCTGATTCCCATATTGAAGACAAGCTAACCTGTTGTTGCTGTTCTGCTGTTGTCATTTTTGTCTAGTTACCAAGAGTTTGTCAACCCCCTCAAAGAGCGGGTATATGAGAGCTTTGACCCCGAGGAGTTCCAAACCCGATGGGCAGAGTTTATCGCCGAGTATAAGTTGGAGGGCAATGAATGGCTACAGAGCCTACACAAAGAGAGTCATATGTGGGTTCCTGCGTACGTGAAGGAGTTTTTTTGGGCCGGTATGAAGACCACACAAAGGGTGGAGAGCATCAATCGGTTTTTTGACGGCTATGTGAACCGAAAAACAAAACTCCATGAGTTTCCTCAAAAGTATTGCATGGCCTTGGATCAACGTGTTCGAGATGAACTGAGTGCAGATGCGCGTTGCTCGAAGTACCTTAGGAGGTTGGTTAGTGGATTCAAATTCGAAAAAATATTCCAAAAGTTATAAACGGACAACAAGTTTCAAGAAGTTCAAAAGGAGTGTACGAGAATGATGTATTGCAACGTCCGAGGAGAGAAGGTTTTGTCTGAGAAGCTTATTCAGTATTCAGTGGTCGATCGTGTATGGATAGTACCTCCCGGTGCGAGTGAGGATGTCATTACAAACAGGCGAAGATACTACAATGTTACTTTCTGTCCAATGACAAAGGAGGTGCACTGTGACTGTAGGAAGTTTGAGACTAGTGGTATACTTTGCATACACTGTATTAGGATTTTGGATGAAAACTTGGTTGAAGTTCTACTAGAGAAGTACGTTGTAGACCGTTGTAGGAAGACATACCCCGGAAGCACACTAGGGTGAAGGTGGCTTACCATGATCCGGGGGACACGGTCAATGTGAAGAGATTCAACAAAATGATGCAAAAACTCGAGCCCTTATGTGAAACCGCTGGCATGGTGGACGATCAAACGGTCCATATGATAATTGAAACACTATCGAAGCTTCAATTAGCTGTTAATGAGCGTAGGGACAAGAAGAGTAAGGAAAATGTTCCTGTAGTTAGTACATTGTCATCAGCCACTAAAGGCAGAACGTTTTCCTCATTTAGGAATCTTGCTGCTGATGCTACTGCCGTAGACTCCTGTCCAACTGCCATGGACCTTGTTATCAAAGACCCTATAATTAAGAAAAGGAAAAGGGGAAGGCCTAAGGGTTCAAGGCACAAAACGTTAGCTGAAACTGGCTACAAGAAAACCAACAAGAATAAGAAGCCTAGCCCGGTAAGATTTATGCTATCTTCAATATTTATAGGGTCTGACTGCTTATCCTGTTATTATTTTCTAAATGCTATTATATCATACATACAGGAGCATGCAGGAAGTGGTGTTGAGGAGGATGCTGGAAATGGTGGTGAGGAGGAGGAAGCAGCAGCAAATGGTGTTGAGGAGGAGGATATGGTGTTGCAGGATATGGTGTTTAGGAGGAGGATGCAGGAAAAGGCAGGAATGGCAGAACCCGGTAAGACAAAGGGGAAGATAAAAAATGCAGGAAATGGTGATGGTGGTGAGGAGGATGCAGCAGCATATGGTGTTGGGCAGGATGCAGGTGTTGAGGAGGAGGAAATGGTGTTGCAGGATCTGGTGTTTAGGAGGAGGATGCAGGAAAAGTCTGTAATGGAAAAACCCGGTATGTCAAAGGGGAAGACAACAAAGGGGAAGGGGAAGGGGAAGGCAAATACGTCTTCTCGAAAGCTACCTGTAAGTTTCAATACTAAATTTATGTCATTCTACCTCAGTGATTATTTATATGACATTGAACACATCGCACCTGTCACAGGTGAAGCAGAAACGTCTTGATGAACTAATGGCCATTTCGTGACCATTTGAGTTATGAAGGAACAGATTACGGGAGCATATGAAGAACCGTTTATTGCTTGAGCATATGAAGAAACAGATTACGGGATATATTGTTTGTTTGAGTACGTGAAGAAGCAGATTACGGGAGCATATTCTTTTCAAAGTAGATTACGGGAGCATATTCTTTTCAACAGTTTGTAACACTGTTAAGCATTTGAAACATGTAAGAAAAATCATCACATGTGTTTGTGCTCGATTTCATGGCGACAAATATGTATATAGACAAAGGTTCAAGGGATTGAGATCGTTATCAAGATGGGAGTAAATTGATGCACTTTTTAAAAAACGAGACTTTAAATGCTTTGAGCATCTCTCATTTTCATGTTTTTAAAAACAAAAGCAAAATAAGCATAACATATTACGCCTCAAAGTTCAGGAGACTATCTAGTGTGGACAACACAAACTGATCAAGTTCAAACAGCACAAACCGTAGTCCTATAAAGACACATACACCGGGTCTTTTAATACACGTTAATGTACATAACACGATCATCATTGGAGGAATGGAATGTAAATGGCAATATTACAGTTGTTTGTCAGTCGACAAACACCAACACGTCAAAGTTTTCTCGATGTTTTCCTAGGACCTGAAATCACATCTCCCACACAGTCTTTCAATTCGTTCACCTCACATTGCACGTCGTCCAAGAACATATTTGCCCGAGCAGTAGGAATCGTCCCATGTAAATGTAAGAACAGAACAAACACTTTAGCCAACCATTCATGAGATCTTCACACAAAAACAGATATATACACCACCTACCACACTGAACCTCGCGGTGAATCTTCTGGCAAAGAACTTAATACACGCGAGCATAAGAACACCGCAGTATGAGCTGCATATTAGAGGACAACAATCAATACGAAAGCCGAAGATACGTTCTCCTGACCTTAAAGGTAGGCTGATAGTTATTGGTACAATAAGCAAACAAGGAAACACAAATTCTTACTTATCCTTTGGCTCTAAGATCTCAACAGTGCATTTGCTCCAAGAATGTAGCAGACAAGCCTTCCATGCTGGGTCACAGAGTCGGAAAAGGACGTCGATGCCACTAAGCTGTAGTTTGACAAACACATTACACATTACCAAATGGTCCCAATAAATACCATGGTTGTTTAGAATGAAAGTCAGTAGTTCTAGTACCATGAGATCGATCTCTTTGGCATGTGTGGCGAACGGGTGAGGGTACATGGAATCTATCATCCACAACTGCTGAGCCCTCATGTGTAATGCTAAGCACCACCAGTGCGACTCGTCAGGGGAATCCTGAGGAACTTCGAGGACTGGGACAAACACCTGGTTAATTGACAATGTCAATGCCGTAAGCACAATTTAGCGCATATGCATGAAAACACATTTAAAACTATGTATTGAACTATGTGAGTAAGTTGCTGACCGCTCGAATATCCGACGGGTTAAAGCTCAGGAGAAATTTGGCATACTTGTTACAAATATGTACTTCGTTTCCTTCGTTCAACAACAATCGATTCTACGATCCAGACAATAAAAACAACAAGCATGACCATCATCAAATGTGGACGTAAAATGAAACTCGAAAGGTGAAATGAACCCTGAACCACTTACCGAAAAGCTTGGGTCAAGCAAAATACGCTTGCTCCTGTTCCAGAAGTCTTTGGTGGCCCATTGTGTATAGCACATTGGCCATTTTAACGTAATCAGTGGAAACCCGTGATTTATTGTGCACCACTTCATAGCAATCTCTCTGGTTGGCTTTTATGTTATCACACTTTATCATCACCATACCCCTAGGGCTATGAGGTGAACCATCATCATAACACCAAGTATACACATAAACATATTAGAATTTACAATTAAAACAAAAACTTTGCAAAAGGCATCCACAATAAAACAACCTTTCACACTCAATTACACTTTTCTGAATTACCTGAGTGGATCCTTCAGTTCCTTCCACCGATTTACAAACTGCAGCAGACGTGTCTCCACCGCTGTATGGCGACGGGTGTTTGACACATTGGTGAACATGGCTGACAAGGCTGCCTCGGTAGGTTTCACCACCCTCTTCTCAGCAGACTCATCTTCCTCATCAGATGAAGATGACTTTTCCAAACTGCACCGAGCATCAACCAAGACAGTCGTTCCCCTCGTCCCAAGCAAGCCCACCACTATTTCAGGTTCAGGCTCCACGGTCCCATCTTCCACTTCACGATCAGAACAACATCCATTTAACTCTGAGGGAACACCCTCATCAGCCTTAACCACATTGGATTAATCCTTAACCACCTTGGCCACACCCCCAGCCCCTGCCAATAGTGTATCAACCGATATATTTTGAACCACACGGTCCAGGTCATCGTCACCGGAAACTGCTTCAGCGTTATGGTCTTCCCTACCAACTACGTTTGCACCTTCTTCCAGTTGAGTCTTCCCCCCCCAAACAACTGGCTAAACCCTGTTCTTCATGCGCAACACCATCCTTCTCCGTTAGCCTACCCTTCTCGATCACCCCCCCTACACACTCTCTTGGCATTAGCTACGTTAACACACTGCGACATCAGCTTATGTAATGATTTCATAACGTCAGCTAATTTAAAATCTATCAGAGCCACCAACTTCGGAGTAATTGTATCCGACACCTTCCGGAAAGCAGGAAAGCATAAGCACAAACTATTAACAACTGCTATAGCACATGTCACTTATTTCTTATACATTACAGAGCTACATATGAAAGTATCATTGACTTGGATTATACCTGCCTCGTAATATTTTTTGCGTCTATCAGAGCTAACTTCGGAGTAATTATATTCAACACCTTCAGGAAAGCATAAACACAAACTATTAACAACTGCCATAGCACATGTCACATATTTCTTACACATTACAGAGCTATACATGAGATTATCATTGAGTTGGACTATACCTCCTGCGTAATATTTTCTGTGTCTATCAGAGCCAACTTCGAAGTAATTCTATTCAACACCTTCAGGAAAGCATAAACACAAACTATTAACAACTGCCATAGCACATGTCACTTATTTTTTTATACATTACAGAGCTACATATGAGAGTATCATTGACTTGCATAATACCTGCTGCGTAATATTTTCTACGTCTACCTCCCGCGTAGTCCGTTGCACATCTACGATTTCCACCCTTTGCTTTTGACCGTCCCGAGGATCAACGGATGAGGCTCCCCATACGCTACATCCAGCGACTGAAAAAGAAGCAAACACAACAGCTTCAGCAGGGATGTATTCCCATCAAAAAAAATTCAAACTAATACTAATCCGCAATTTCCCGAAATCCCCAGATTGTTTTTTGTCATCCCCAACCGCCTCATTGATCTTTTCTTCGCACCATGCCTCCAGTCTTGGTCTCACGCCCCACCTTATTGGGACGCGACTGAGGTGATCTAGATAAAAAATCTACAGATTAAGGACACGATAGAAAATTATATAAGATTACTAAAAAAGCTTTTGATCTAGAAAGGCAAATACCAACAATTTACTCACCAACAAAAAAGGATACAACCCCCGCAACCTGCTACATATCCATCACGAGCAAATTTCCTTTGGAAACCCCTGGCTGATACAACCATCCAGTTAAAAACATAAGTGCACCAGTCATACTCATCCGCCTCGTCGTAAACCAACAACGACGGTACAAGCTTCACCCCAAGGTAGCTTGTGTTTTCCGTAGCACACAATATGCAGCCCAGAGCTGTTATGAGAAAGGCTATCTCTAAATAAGCATTCTCGTCATCCGACAACGGCAACACATTACCTTCCTCATCCTGTCTAATCAGTGCCTCTAAAGCCGATACTAATGAAATGTGTTCCTTTTTTCCAAACTTCTCCAAGATTCTGCGATACTCTGCCTGCTTATCCTCAGGAATCCTACACGGTAATTCCCGCGACCCCATGGGAATCCCAAGTACGTACTCAACCTGCACAGGACTCAAAGGAAGCACACACTCATCTCCAAAAGTTATGGAACCGTCAGCCATCACCCTTGTCAACAGCCAGTACACAAACTTCCGGGGTACATAAGTCAGGGGAATACTTAATAACCCTCAAAAACCCATTTCTGTGACCACCTTCTTCCTAGAATCATCAAACTTATTCACTGCAGTTGCAAAAGCTTTCACACCATGCAAATTTGGGGCCTACAACAATATATTCAAACAAGACAAATGACTGATTAAATTCCTACTAAATTACTCAAAATTCTTCAATTCCTTTTTAGGTATCCTCAATTTTTTACACTTCGAACCACATTACACCAACCAAAACAGAATATAGACTACTTAAAATCCCATTCAAACTACCTGCGAAGCTGCGAATATCGTCGTCCAACGGAATTTAACCTTACTTACGGACTCACATTAGCCATACTTAACTTACAACTCAACTACAATTTACAATTAATCTTTAGTAATCAAGTTTAATTACCAAACAACCCCCTTCACTAACCAAATGCCCAACCACAGAATTCACCAGACATTTCCGTGTCATGGATTTCAACAAATACAGTTCAGAGAGTACCTTCTGCGTACTTCTTGATTGGGTTTTAACGACAACCCCTTTCTCCTTCACCATGTCTCCCTTCGTCTTCTCGACCTACACATGACATTGCACATTTCATTTCTCCATCCAAGTGTAACACAGTCAACAAGCTTTCACTAATTCCATCAAACATGACATACCTTTAGCTTGCCCCTTTTTGTTGTCCGTTTCTCAAAATGACCTTGCTTGCGCTTCCCTTTGTCAACCTTTTCCCGCAATAACTTGATCAGGAGATCCTGGTAGCTCACTTTGTCCTGTTCTGGTTCGTCCTCACTACCTTGACCATCGTAGTCCGCATCCTTATCTTCCTCATAATTAGCAGATGAGGAATCAACATCATCAGAAAGAGCAACATCAGAAATTGATTCAGTGTTACCACGATCATCATATCCTGGTTCATCAGAGTCCTGTAAATACTCTTCCTCAAAAACAGGATTTGATTTCTGTTTCTTCTTCCCTTTACTAGCTACTTTCTTACTTGGCTCCGCTTCGTTCCCGTTAGACCGCCCCTACACAAGCCAAAAAAAATAATTGCCACCTTAATTCAACTACAACACACAACCGGTACTACCAAAATCCAGCAAACACAAAATCGTTAATATCAACAAACAATAACTCACCATTTGTGATCCATTGGTCCTCCTCCGTGGCATTATTTCCTCTTGCCAAGTTCAAATTAATGATCAGAAATGGGACTTCCCAACTACAAAAAACCCGATCAACAAACGCTTACATACCTCGTCATTTCACATTAAAGTCATGATATCTTAATGTAAAAGTATTCCTTATTCATAACTCAATACGTCTTCCTCATGGAACACACAATTAATCAGTCATTTAGGTTACAAAAAAATTAAAAACTTTCAGTCAACACTCCTACCTCCCATACATAAATAAAAATGGAATTGGTGATTAGAATTATAGTAAAAGGGGTAGCACATTCGACGATCGTGTATCACATCCTCAAATTAATTCCAATTATAAAATTGATCAGCAAAGGAAACCCTATTTTGCTAATTACACTGGGTAATCAGATTAATTAAAACATAATAAAAACAAATGCATTCCAATTAAGGGTTTAAGAACCACCCCGAACGAAGTTTGTCCGAACATGAATAACTGACAACCAGCAAAACTTCATAACAACAAACATTCTACCGTTGGTTTCAAAATTTTAAAGTCGGTCACGCAAAACCCTACAATTTCTGCACTTGCTTTTAAATTTCTTAAAATGCAACAATTGAGTCCGTAGAAAACAATTTAGGCAAAGGAAACAACGACTGTCGGAAGCAACGACTGCCGAAAAACAATTCCAGTCCATACCTTCAATTAAGACAAAGGAAGCGACGTCTGCCGGAAAACAATTCACGGAACTACCGACGAACCAAAATTCCTTTTAAGCTCCGGCAGAAACCGCTGTCTTAGTCTCTTCGGAGCATAGTAACTACGGCAGCAACCACTGTATTAGTCTCTTCTTCGGAGCACAGTAAATACGACAACAACCACCGTCTTAGTCTCTTCTTTGGAACAGAGCACAGTAACTGCAGGGAAAGGGGAGATGAATAGGGAGAGACTAATTTTGGACCTAAAATGAAACTGAAAGTAAAACCCCTGAATATAAAAAATGACAGAAACGGGCATCCGTAATAGTTCAAACAACAACGGGGTGACGTGCACCTCACTATCAGTCAAGGATTGTATATTTGGGTGTTAATGTGTTATAGTCCCGATGTATTTACAAAGCATACGGAAGGGCAAGAAGGTAAATTCGACAAGTTTATGGACATAAACTGACTCTACGGTGGTACAATATAGCATACCATTACGTACTATTATGCAAATATAATGTACCATTAACCTAGAAGTTGTCTTGAAAGTACTTTTTTGAGTAATATTTTGTCCTGTAGTGTTACTTACTTTCCAGCATCATATTAGTTGAATAATTACCCCTAACATAGTTCACCTGTCACTTACTAGTCATGATACGAATAACTAATTAGTAGTCAAGTGACTAATAACTAACAACTAGTGAAGTTACTAATAACTAATTAGTAGTGAAGATACTAACAACTAATTACTAGTCAAGTTACTAATACCTAAGTCACAGTACAATAGAATGTTAGTAATTTGCAAATCAGAACGTTCGGATATTTACGATGACCGTATAGCACAGTTGGAAACTAGTGACTATATATCGCATTCCCGGACTCATGTCTTTGACTCGACGTAGGTTGTTAGACCATTTTACCAATGAAACGTGTCGGGTTTCAAGTACACCGGCTCATGTGATCAAGGGTACCACTATGACAACTTTGGTAGCGGGTTCAATGCCAATTTATTCCGCAACACCTACATGTATCAATACTAGATTTCTCTGTAGTGACTATATATCGCATTCTCGGAATGATATCTTTGACTCGACGTAGGTTGTTAAACCATTTTACCAATCAAACGTGTCGTGTTTCAAGTACACCGGGTCATGTGATCAAGGGTACCACTATGACAACTTTGGTACCACGAAAGTCAGGTACGACTAGTTATGAATTACAAATTAGTAGTCAAGTGACAAATAACTATTTAGTAGTCAACTTACTAATAACTATGTAGTAAAGTGACTAATAACTAGTTAGTAGTCAAGTGACTAATAACTAGTTACTAGTCAAGTTACTAGTAACTAATTAGTAGGCAAGTGAGTAATAACTAGTTACTAGTAAATTTACTAATAACTAATTAGTAGGCAAGTGAACAACAACTAATTAGTAGTCAAGTTACTAATACCTAATTATGACTAGTTACTAGTCAAGTTACTGATAACTAAGTGACAGTACTCTAGAATATTCGTGATTTGCAAATCAAAACGTTCGGATATATGACCGTAGAGCACAGTTGGAAACTATTCAACAGGCAATGAGCGGGTGCAATGGTAGAGTTCTCTTTGGTGACTATGTATCACAGTCCTGGAATTATGTGTTTGACTCGACGTAGGTGGTCAAGCGTGTCAAGTTTCAAGTACAGCGTGTCATGTGGTCAATGGTACCACTAAGACAACTTTGGTACCACCCACCTTTTGGTGGTACAAATCCTGTCATACAATGAACCACTGAAAAATGAATTGGTTTATACCTCTTTAGGGTGGGACGAATACCTGCGTCGTCGGAGGACGTTGACATCACCCAATTCACCTGTCACTTATTACCCATTTAGTGGTAATTTTTTCCATGATATATTTGGTATATGGACTCTAGATCGAGCGAAAATACAAGAGATTTAAGAGGAGTATGAAGAGAAAAAGGGACGGATGAGACAGAAATGGTCGAGAAGGGACGTGGTTAAGTGATGAGAATGAGAGAGAAAGGGTTGTGGTGAAGTGACGTGATGGATGTTCCAACACGTACTAATGTCAAGCTTGCATGCCACTTTAATGTTGGGAATATGCATCCATCCCAAGTCCCACATGGAAGAAATAAGGAGGAGGATAACTCCTTATTAATGAGATGTTCACTATACTAGGATGAGGCCTTTTCAGTAGTGCCCAAAAACAAATCTGTGCGGGCTTAGCCGACCCAAAGCGGACAATATCATACTAGTGGGTGTGTGAACGTGTGCAGTGCCCCTAACATCTAAAATACCGTTGTGTTTATTTGAAATTGCTCATGGACATACAATTAATTTGTTTAGCGTCACATAACTGTTTTGAAAACATAATTGGGTATTAACATCACTTCAACGAACAAACACCAGCAAATATATTATATAATCGAACTAGTTAACACCAAATAAGCCACAACATGTACCCACACAGATCATTACATCACAGATCATAGTCAAAACATAATTAAACCATACGCAAAGGATCATTACACATCCTACAAAAGGGAAGTTGATATTCGTTCACGGACACATACACGTAAGGGTTCTACATGCCCTATTTGTCTGTGAAGCAAAAGATTTCATCGCCATTCCTGATGGCCGCACCCCTAACATCCATTAATGACGAGACCTCCTTGTTCTCGTGAATCATAAGGATTTTACTTGGGCACACATTCACTTCCTCACTCCAAGCTCGAAACAGGCCGTCCAGAGAATCAACCAGCTTGACTAATACCTTCTTCTTAACTGCACGTGTTCGAGGCTCTCAGAGATAGACTAGCTTCTTACGAACATCCATGTTGGCCTCAGGTTCCTACGTGAAAACAAAATTCAGCTTCACAATGTAACTAAGTTTAAACACGACTATAATAATACTGAAGTTCAGCTAAAACGTATTTGAATTTACGGGTTAAATTAGTAGTGTTAAAACACAAATTAAATGAAATGAATAACTGTATAAAGTATAAGTTTAATACTCCGAAATAGGCCACTGTACTTATTCCATTATACGAATATGTCGTACTTAAATTGAACGACATTAACAGCAAAGGTTAGTCACAATGCCAATTTCACTAAAATTAAACGTATAATCAACATTTTATTTTTTTGGACGACCTAATTTCAACACGAATGAAATAACACTAATGTTACTAACTATATTTTGTGGACATAAAATTCATCGAATTTTATCAGAAAACATTTTTCTCCATTAACCGTAAACATTGAATTTCGTTGTACAGAACGGAGGGTGTTAATTCCGGAAGTGCCCCCAAACAACAACTAATTTACCATTTTTCCAAACTCAATTAACAACTACGAATTCTATAGATCTAACAAATATAATACAATTAAACCAACTATAATTATAACTTATTCAGTAACTACACTAAGTCCAAATTAACAGCTACTATTTAACCAAAATACCAACACATAAACAACCTCAATTAAAAATAAATGACAGACTTCTTACTACAGAAGGATAAGAACCGAACCTTGCTCCGAACCCACAGAACAACCCCATTCACAATATCGCCCAACATTGGACCGTTATTATAGAGAACGATGCCGCGAGCGTTCACGATAGTAATATCAGCCTAGTCACAGTCTACCCTCCTAGCATAGTCATAGTAAAAATTCTTAAATGATTCATTGATCTTGAGTTCATAATCGAGGCCGGGATCGTCGTCGTTTAGGCTCCGAACCCTGAATGAGATCTTTGGAAATAAGTTGGTAGGAGTTGGATGACCAACCCTTGCTTGCTTAGCTGCATACTAGGGTGTCGCAGCAGGCTGTACAAGCCCTGGCATTGCAGTGTCAGGTGCCAGGACAACCACATCATCAACATCATCATCTTTTTCCCGAACGGGGTCGTCACCTGGAATGTCAATAACTTGCTGAACAGCAACACCTTCACAAGCAAGGCCCTTAATTTCCTCAATAGGAGCAACGACGTTCGTGTGCTCTTCAGCAGCTACATCCTTGTACTCCTCAGCGGAAAAATGCTTGTCCTCACCATTCAATTTCTTGGTTTTCTGGGATTGCTCGGAAACAACATCTTTAAAACCAACCTTGGGCAGTGTAGAAGGGCGGCCTCTTCTTTGTGTCGTTAGGTTAAGTAGAGGATCTTCGACGATCGAAGCAACATATGACTGGCACACTCCATGGCGTCCTTTTGGACCGGCGCCCCTAACGCCACACGCTAGATCCGCCAATAGGCTGTGACGGCGGAACGTGGTCTTCCTTTTCCTCAACGGCGGACAGGTTTTTGAAAGGATCGGACTACGGTGGTCGTTGGGGTTTGGAGGTGTGGAGGAACTCATTTGGATTGAATATCTTTGTGTGGGTGAGACAGCTGCCAATTTTGGTTTTGTGAAAGGAATGTAGTGGTTGTGGGTGTGATATTTATCTAATTTGTTCGGCATTGGAATACGGGTCGCTGCAAACCGGTTGCGGAGTGAAACGGTTTATTTTGGGACATTTTCAGGTCTGGTTTAATGATTATTAGTCCAATTTAGTTTTTGTTTATTATTTAGTGGTTCTAATCATATTTTGGTTGCAGACGATCCGGGTAATAAACAGTTCATTGGTCAAATTATTTATCAGTCTTAGTTAAGTTGAGGGTGTTTCTTCACTGAAATTGTTCTTGTTTTTGTGTGTGTTGGTTACAACGAATTTTGTATCGGGGACCCATTTAGATTTCAACAATGCAAAAGGGTTCGGGTTGTGCTCGAATAACAACCCTTATGTACGACCCAACACATACACATATTAGGGTACAAACATAAATAACAACTTAAATTACCATTGTACATTTTCTTAATCGACTCAAATTACCATCGTATTCTAGCACCAGTTATACATGTACCTCATAATTGCAATTTTGTAAAACCGAACATATATATGTTGGGAATATGCATCCATCCCAAGTCCCACATGGAAGAAATAAGGAGGAGGATAACTCCTTATTAATGTGATGTTCACTATTTTACTATGAGGCCTTTTGGGTTGTGCCCAAAAATAAATCCGTGCGGGCATAGCCGGCCCAAAGCGGACAATATCATACTAGTGGGTGTGTGAACGTGTGCGGCTCCCCTAACAATATATACAATGTGAATTCTTCTTTTGTTGAATCCTTCTAATTAAGCCCCGTCCAACAATTGTTATTCTGTCACAATTGCATTACCAACAATGCAGATACGATTTACAAATGGGTGTATGAGACATTACCAACTATGAGTGGGGGTAGAGGGACAATTACATGGTTTCACCATGGTAACTCACCTTAATTTACGAGACACTTTTTTGGCCAATGACAAAGCAATGCCAATACACACATCATCGTGCTTTGATGTATGGTAACTGAAGGTTAAAGCTTAAACAATACGTACAGTGGTACATCTAGTTCTCTAATAGAAGGCAAATGGTTACACAATAGTCAATTGTACCTTGGCACAATGTCCAAGACGTTGTGTTGTATTTGTCAAGAAAATACAATATGGAACTGACACATCCGTTTAAAAGAATTTGAAACAATGTCACCAAAAATAAATTCGCTTTCTATTCCTATCCATATTCTGCATCCATTGCCTTCCATTTATCATTACAAGCAACAATAATGGCCGGAACTTCCGTTGTGAAATATTGTATCTCACGTCACCAACCCTTACCCCACCCGGAACAATCGATATTGTATTTTCAAAAAACAGAGAGGCGGGAATCCGAATTAAACCTGAATTTAGTAAAGTATTTCAGATCATGCTACACCTTCTATAATGGGATATACCAGCCTGTGAAGTCCATTAGAGCACATCTCCTCCAGTCAATGTGCTGCCAAATTGATGGCATGGTGTTACAAGATGGGAGGACGACGACGGGGCACCTTCCTCTTTTAGAGGACTTGGTGGGCTGCTATGACAAGGGAGCCTGTGTCATGCTGTACAGGCTCATAGACAGGTTCTATTCCTCGCCGTCCCCTCTCACAGTACCACCTGAAACAGAGGAAGCACTTGACTTGAAGCCCAATCTTAGTATTGACTCCATAGTTGCTTACAGTTACCCCACGAAGCGGCGCACAATATTTGTTGACTCTTTCACGGATACCCTCCACCTCATGACGGTCGATACTAGTAACACCCACCTGAGGTTCTAGGTTGAAGGTTGTACCTTTAATCCTTGTTAACCATCGCTGGCCCATACGTAAATGGTACAACCGTGTTACCTATAAAGGAGAGCATCTTTCGTCAGCCACCGAACAGTATGGCGTACTCGCTCGGGGCTCGCACATTCTACTTTGGAACGCCCGAGGGTGCACACGACCCTCCTTCACGGAACACTTCGCAGCCCTGCACAATAAATTTAACCCGATGTTGTTCATCATTTTGGAAGCCTGTGTTGGAAAACATGAAGCGAGCGACCTTGTTGTTCGTAGCCTCCCTGGTGATTATGAAGCACAAATATGTGGTCCGCAATCATGTCCTGGTGGAGTTATGATGTGTTGGCAACAACATATGTTAAGGGCCAATTTCTTCCACATATCGAGTGACCCGATTGGGGTGGCTATTGATGTTTTTTTCCAGGTGATTTATCTGATTTATAATATTGTTTGGAGTGTAAGTTATTGGGAGTTATATTATTTAGGTAGCGAATTGTTGTTTCCAATTACAGGCTCAACCACCACCACCACCACGACCATCGTGGCCTCCGAAACCAGTTCATTTTAACAATGACCTGTTAAGCTCGGACGAGGAGGCATAGCCAGGTCGCTACTACTTCAATTCAAGCTTGGCTTTCGACGGCTCCATCCACCACCTGGGATTTGGGAAAGACCTATGAAGAACCGGGGATCCGACACTCCATAATGCTTTGTGTCTTTGTTGAACTAATACTGTAGTTGAATTTCTTTTTTTCTGTTTTGATTGGCTTTGCCTTTAAATTCTGTTTGACTAAAATTTTATTCTGTCCAAGTTGCAATGTTGAGGCTTGACGTACATCTCAAAGCCCTAACTCTGATTATTGGATCAGTTTATTCCGCCTTTGAAACTAATGCAAGGCCTTTGAGATACTATAATCTCTGAATAGTAATGTCCTTCAATCTCTTACCATGGATACCAATTTGAACACTAGAAATTATTATGTGTATCGTCAAGATTTTAATGATTATCTTATGCATACTATGCAATATAATACAAATACAAAAGTGCTTACCCCTAGTTTCCCGTAGTCGCCGGACAGCAATTTGTCTGATTTTGCTGCCTTCCCAATCTGCTGCATTGTCCACTCTTTAACTCTTGGAAAAACATCCCATTGAATAGGATCCCTATCCAACCGATCCAAGTAAAATATCTGTCAAATAATAAAGGCAAAACAAGCAATTACTAAACCACAAAAGCATAAGATAAAAAAAAAAACAGGCAACAATACACTGAAACCCATACCACGAAAAATATTGCACACCCGCCGCATCCACTTGCAAACCCATTAGCATAGAAATGTCGAGAAAAATTTTGTACGCTCTCCAGCAACTTCGACAACACTAAAGAACACCAATCGTACTCAATTGCCTCCATAGCGCAGCTTATGCAGGTAGTAGGTCAGACGCAACCCGAGGTGACTACGTGGGACACAACACCATCTCTAAAGCAATTATCAAGAACAACGTGTTGAATTCCTCTTCCTCTCCAGCATCAAAGCACCTCTCCAACCGATTCACCAAATCTGAACTTAATGGTATGCCTACAGACGTGTACACCTGACCAGATTGTCTACCAGACTTGGACTCCCACGATTTACCATACTTGAGAATAAATCTCTGAACCTTCACACGATCATGTTGGGTCATGGTTTTAGTACTAGGAACAGTTATAGAACCCATTGGTATCCCTAGTACCCACCGAACCTGATTCTTTGAAAACCGAAACTCAAGTCCGTTGGGACTCCTAAGCATTTTACTGATTGGATCCATCCGTGTCATGACCCAGTATGCCAATTGCCTTGGTAAATGCATATCTAAAGCAAGATGTAAAAGACTGCCAAATCCCATCTCACAAACCCAACGTCTTCGCCTGTCATCAAATTTCTGACATATGCGCCCAAATGACTCGATGCGGCAACCCATGTTAGGAGGCTGCCAATGAAATTACAGTAATTAAGTTAATGTTCCTATCCCATACCCATTGACAACTTAATTAACAAGCAAACTTACCCGACTTCTGGCCTTTGAATGTTCAGCCATCACCTCCGCCCTACCTTTGACGGCCCCTCCATAGCTTAATCCGTCATCCTAAGCACACCAGAAACTAAATTCATTCAACGATTCCTTAATCGTGCAAACAAAGCAATTTCACACACGCAGAATTCCGTAATGTAGTACCTTAAACAATTCTGGATACAAAGGCATGGTCTTCTGCTCACATACATTACTCTTGTTACTGAGCCCATACCCCTCTTCATCTTCAGCCCCAACCTTCATAGCCTCAACATCACAAAACATTAAACCGTAATTCAAAAGATAATCACATCCCCATAAAACCACTGTTCAAAACATCATCACATCCCCAGCCTAAAGAATATCTTAAAAAAAAAAAAAAAAGCTCACCATTGTACACTTACGCTTACCATTCCCCGTTGACATTTCCATAATCTGTCACATAAGAATACCCACAATAACAAATCACAGCAAATCGAATCTTGACACGATTCCACACCATAACACAATATCACATAGAACGAACGAATAATGACCACCAATGAATGCATAATTCACCTCATTCCATCAAATTTAATGCTGGAATGAGCAGCATAATTGCACCCGTAATTAAAAGAATTCCAATTATATTCCGCAAATTCCACAACTTCCATTATTAATTTATTCCATTTATATCCAATTAACAAACATAATCGCAACAATTCCATTTTTTAAGTTACCTCTTATATTCTGCTAATTCCACAAGTTAACAATTAAAGTCAAACTATTACCATTTTTACCTTTGTTGGTACAAATCCGAATTGGGACTGCAACCCTAGCATCGAATTAAATCTGTCAACAGAGACAATTGACGTACAGAACATCGAACCCCAACCATAAACCATTCAAAAAACAGAAAAATAAAAAGCCAGTTCGAAATTACATTGAATCAGAAAGAACCTGGATACACCAACAATTCGAGTTGGGACCTCGTTGACTTGAGTTCCGCCCAGAATTCGAGTTGGACCTCTTCGAGCCTCTTCGGGTTCGATTTCGCCCAGAAGTCCAGTTGAGCTTCAACGGAGTCGAATTGAAAACCCAGAATTCGTGCCTTTCTTCGAATAGGGTTTCGGAGTTTTCATGAAACTCCATAAATGTCCAATTTTAACGGCGTCAATTGCGAGAAACCCAACATCAGTACAATTGGCAAAACAAGTAAAACACGTCAGCAAGATGAGGCCTAATCACCCATCCACCAAGTCACTTATAATAGGTGAAATGTCGCCTATACCCCTATGAGTAACATAACCTGTTACTCACTGTGAGTAATGGGGGCACCCCCTTGTGAAATATGGCCATTAATTATTTTGTGTACTGCAACTACAATAACGCTTGAAGATGTAAACTGTGAACTGAGCTTATACCATAACCATAAATGGCTATTTAATTGTATGAAAGAAGAGTTCAAAGGTGATATGAGTCTTTTCAAAAGCAACTATTACAACCGGTGGCTCATAAGCAAAGTTTAATGTTTATAGTACGCAATACATGGTATTAAAAGCTAATCAAAAGGTGTAGTCTTTGCCAGTGCTCTTATAAGAAGCCACAATGTGTAAATACCTTATTCATGTTGGTGCAGTAGCATATCTTATTCAAAGAAAATCACTTTCAGAGTCCATTTTAGAACCCGGATTCTTGTCAGGAAAGTTGTTGGTGCAATCTGGAATAGGTGGTAGCTATTGCTTCAAATTCCAGTCAATCAACCTGTCTAGTACTACGGTAATGTGTTAGGGGAAAAGACAATGGAGTTGATCAAACAAGCTACTACTGTTAGACATTTTAGTTCAAGAAACTTTAGCAAGCTTTAGAGTAGATAAGTGAGCGCATATAGTTTAGATTATGACAAATATAGAAAATAGATAGTATGTTAAAACTACCTACAACCCTCAAATACACATTCATATAGAAATTGCAGTAGGTAACTCTAGATGGGTGTCGAAAGTGCTGGTCTTGTCATCAGTGACCGCATTAGCCGAGACGTCTCTACTCGTATCGACCTCGATGAAGCGTTGGATGCTGCAAGATGTGCTAGTCACCCTTACACTACTCACCCTAAAGAGGTATTGCCAATTGGGTTTTTAAGTTTTTCTGGGGTTTTAGTTTTTTTTTTGTGCTTTTTTCTTGGCTAATTGAGTAGTGAGTAAACCCAATTAATTTAGGGAATAAGATTAATTGGATTTGCTTTGATGTGAATTTAATTTGAATTTATTAATTGGGTTTACTTTTAAGTGAATTTAATTTGAAAATAGTGTGTTAACCCAATTAATCCTTTTTTGCTTTTGCTTATTTACATTCTCTTTTTGAATGTAGTTTGTGCTTTAATTCGAGCAATTTATTATGATTCTTGTTGAATTGTGTTTTAAGTGTTAACGAGGAAAGTATTTTTGAACATTGGTTTTGCTTTCATGTCAAATTGATTCATTACTCATTAGTTTTTTGGAAGAAGTGAATGACGAGAAAAGGTTGAAAGGAGACAATGGAGATGTAAGGATCCGTTTGGTATCACTTTATACGAGTATGTCAAATAATGAATCAAAACTTGTTCAAACTTAATAAAATCATGATAATTTGAAAAATTGGAAACAAAAAAGTAGAAACAACTTTTTCTTGTTTTCTATTTTTGATTTATTTTTTTTTTGAAAACTTAAAACAACATACGATCACAAACAAGCCCCAAGGAAATTTGGTTAATTTGTATTTAAGAAATTGAAGAAAAACAATGTCAATATTACATGTAATCGTCTTGAAAGATTAGATTTTTTCGCCCTCAAAATTATAAATCTTACGATCAAAATAATATTCAACATTTTAGGCACTTCACAAGTCACACAATTTGGGTATATGATCTTCACATGATTTGATAAGGAATGATAAGCACAACCCACATTAAGGCAATAACAATTTTCACTTTTCTATTTTTAAGCAAACGAAAAACTTATTAGACCTAAGAAACCTGAACAATAAACAGCCCCGTTTCTGAGATTTCAGTGGCCCGGGGCAAAGATATAAATTGGGGCCCTATTTCACATGTACCAAAAAATTTTGAAATTTTTGGGTATGCAAAAAAAAAAGATAAAAAAAAGACATTTTATTACGATTGAAATCAAAGTCTAAACATTCACATGAAAATATTTCTACGAGCATTTCTGGACGCAAAGTCACTAATAATCGTTTCTACATCAATATGTTCTAACATATTTTTCTCAATACATAAAGTAGCTAGACCATTCAACCTTTCTTGTGACATTGACGATCTCAAATAGTTCTTTAGTAACTTCAACTTCATTACCAGATAAATATCTTCTAGGCAACATTATATGAAATAATGAAAATTAATAAAAGTATAAAAAAGAGCAAAAACACCTGATAATTGAAGATTTAACACCAAATTCTGCTCAATGCCTCAATTTGAACAATTGCACTCCAAATAATATCTCAAATCTGAAATTCTGAAAATACAGTACATGTTATACACTAGTATTTTTAGGAAAATCAATTTATCAAACAAATAAGAATATAATTACCGTTGAAAATCAACCAATTAATCTGAAACTCGGAAGTCGGAAGCCATTGTTTCACCAAGGAACCAAACTCAACCAATTAATTGAATTTTTTTCCCAATTTTTTTCCCCAACTTCTGATTGTTCTTCAACTCGAAAACAGCTATAAAAATTAAAAAAATAATAAAAATTAGACGAGATACTTTGATGAATTAAGGAGTATATGCAAGTATTATATATAATTAGGCAAAATCCCGTGGAAAATTGATGAGCAAAATTACCGTTTTTGATCGTTTTCCTCTTCAATTGAATCTCGAAACAACCCCAATTCATCTGACTGAAATTGAAAATTGTATACAAATACATCTTGGGGATTAGATTGAAGATTAAACGTTTTTGTTGGAGAAATCAAATTACTTTGGAAAGAGAATATTATGGCCGAAAATTAGGGGAAAGAAGTTGAGGAGATTGTCTGAATATTAGGAAAGAAATCGTTTCTTTGAATATCTTAATTTATGATTTTAGGGATTTGCATTTGAAAGTCAGGGGAAAGAAATAAACGCTTCTTTAAAGTTTTTTTTTTTTTTTTTATTTTTTTATTTAGGGCCTTCAAACTTCAGTCCTTCATTTCAGCAACATGGGCTTTTTTTTTGGGGGCCCAGGGCGGTCGCCCCAGTTACCCTGGGCCAGCGACGGGGCTGACAATAAGGAGAAGATCATGGAAGTCCACAAATTTGTTGTGAGGGTAGGATAAGCATGGGGACTAGGCTATGTGAACATAGAGACTAACTTTGAACATTTGTTTGGTAAGAATCAGCAAACAGTAGAGAAGGTTTTATGACTAATACATTTAACAATCTTAATTTTTTTGGGTACTTTAAATGGCCTTTTTCTAAAAAAAAAAAAAAAAAAAAAAAAGAAATATTTACACGTGTAATTAGTTAAAAGGATTATTCTTTCACTTATTGTGTTGTTTAATTTTATATACAATACTACATAGTAGACTTGGGACCTATCTAACAGCATAGATAATATGAAGAACCTGGACAATATAAAGATCATGCTAACACTACAACAAATTGACCTTTGTGCCACGAGTAAAATCGTGGCACAAGTGTAAAATTCCCGTTGCTATGTAATTTAGCCACTGGAATTTTAAAATTTATTCCCATGACACAAGAGGTCGTGGCTAGGAATTTGCCACGGGAAAATGGATGTCGTGGCAAATTTTAATTTTTATGTCACGGGTATTCACGTGGCAAATAAATTCACTTGCCACGTATATTAACGTGGCTAATAATTCATTTGCAACAAATTCCATCGTGGGTAATAAGCATTGTTCTGTCAAATATTATCGTAGCCAATAAGCTTGTTTGCCACAATATCAGCGTGGCTAATAAGCTTGTTTTCCACAGATATTATAGTGGCTCGCTTTTAATTTTTTTTTTTAAAAGAAATATTATAGTGGCTAATATATTATATTTTGCATTTTTCCACCTAAATTGACTAACAGACATAGTACATATATACACATAAATCTTACATATTTTCATTAATAACTTGTAAATTACACTTTTCAAGTTTTATCAAAAAAATAAAAAATACAAATAGTCAATAAGAATACACTATAATTGGAGCAGAAACGATCAGCAAAGCAGAAGCAATCTCCAGCAAAGAGCAGCAGCAAGTGTCTAACTACATCAGTGGAAAACCCTGAAGCTTCTTAAACACCTTGCTTTCTCCGACCAGCACACTGCACATCACGAACTTCTTTAAATCAGCCAGCAACCACTTTTTTCTTTCTGATATTTTGTAATTATAAGTCTAAAAATTAGCTCACTGCAATTTTGAAGAAGCATATACTACGACTAGCGTAGTACTAAAAATAAGTATGAGCCAATGTAACAGAGTTTTGCTCAAGGAGCATATAACTCACTAAGAAAGAAAGTCCAAAGTACACTTCTATACAAAAAATATTGGCTCGAGCTTGAGCTGCTCCAAAGCGATTTCAACAAGTACACTGGTATGACTAGTGTTGACTTTACAATTATAAGAGACAGAACTAATGATATATTGTAAAGAAATAGCCTTTTTATACCCTAAATTCAACCCTGATTTGACACGAACCAGGCATTCTTACCCATATTCCTAAAAGTTTGTTACATCGAAAACAGATAGAACATTAGAGTATACTGTAGAATTGCACCTCAGTAAAACATCCACGGTATATGAAAATGTAGAGATAAACTATTGTTCAAAAGTTAAAAGTCTTAGAAAGAAAATAAGAGAAGCTATATGAGCACTTTGAACTCATGCACAATTCTGTTGCAGTTCAGGATATTTCAGAGACAAACACCAAGTAAATGCTGAAAAAAAACATCAACCCAAGAACCATTAAAACCCACATAATTTCACCTTAAAACAATATACACACATATTAATCCAGAAAAATTACGCCAAAACTCACAAATTTATTGAAACATACGAAAATTCAGCATAAAAAACACAACGAAATCATGTAAGCATAGTCTGAAGGAACATTGAGGTAGAGCAAGCAAACGTGAAACTTTTCAAGCTAAGAGAACCCCATTTTTTATGATAACAAGAGCTAGCAAGCATGGAATGAGGGTTAACATGTAAGCGGTTTTGTCTTAGGTGGTTCAGTGGTCGACGCCCAGTTTGTATTTTTAAATCTGGGAACCAAAGAAGAACAAAGTCAACTTGCAAGCTTCTTAACTGTACAAACAACACAAGATAGTCGAAGAAATAATGAAGATATATTATATGAGAAACTAGGAACTACTTTAGTGAGAAACGATATGATGCAGATAGTATACAAAAAGAGTAATATTGCAGGTCCAATTAAACATTGTCAGATTCACAACTCCTTTGTTGATACCTTTGATTTCAAAACTTGTAAGGCCTGCTCCAATCCATTTCTATTTCGGCCCTACAGACTAGAGGTAAAATACACTTAGAACCCTAGAAAGAAGAGTAGAAATTAATAGACAATCATACTGACAAGTGACAACTCATATGCAATACTCTCAAGAGTTAAAGCATTTGAGCTACAGCTTCCAAACATGTAGATAATAATGCAACGACAATTGTGGAGCTAAAAGAGCTTACTCTCCATTGATAGAGTTCAGAAGCTCAAAGCCAGTTTGTCTAAGACGAAATTAGATCCCAAACAAAACAGTAGCAGAATTAATAGTGAATAAAATTTTAAATAGATATGCAGAACATCATTTAGTTCACAGATACAATCAGGCCTCACAATCTCACATAGTCACATTTGGACAAATTCACATATTTCAATAGGTACAAAAGCAAAACGACAAAAGGTTGACCATGCATGGATGTATATGGCTGTCTAAACAATGGGCAGCTCCCTATTTTAAGAGATTAGTTAATAACTTAATATTATGTAACCTTCCAATCATAAACAAATTCATCAACAAGATTGATTAAACTCCCGTTCAGTAGGATAATTATACTTCGTATAAGATTCATATAGGGAGAAGGAATTTTCATATATAACAGTTTGAAGATAAAGTATGACACCTAGGTTTCTATTTCTCCAAATAATAGAAGTATAATATCATCCCCAAAGCTTCATAAGTTCATAGGAAACAACTTATAGAAACAAAGTAGAGTTATTGTTAACTATCCCTACAACGACACAAGCCATTAATTAGAAAATTAGCATAACTTTCAGCAAATGGACCGCACTCTCCCATACAATTGAATAAAAATTGAACAAAAATTATAAGTTGGTGTTCAATATAGAAGACCTGATCATGTTGCAATTAGAGATAGGCACATGACTTAAGGATATCCAATGCCTCAGAGTGTCTCTCATAAGCTACGTACCTGAAATTTCTGCAAACCAACTGCATAAACACAAATAAATAAAGGCAATAACCAAAATAAATACTAGTACAAGAAAATTACACAATGCACCGAAAAGGTAAGCCAATAAAATGACTTCAAAGAACTGTAACATAGATCTTGTATGTTCTAAGGTGGTGAGGCGTCCATCCTAATTCAATCCATTGTTCATGACTATATTTTACATTCTCTGTTTTTACTTTTGCAATCCCAATTTAGTTTTGCTTATTATTCTAATTGTCAGTGGTTCATGTTATCATCAGATTTTGGATGAAAGGTTTTGAATTGTTGAAAGTGCCTGCAATAACAAAGTTGATTCCAAGTAATTGACTAAAATGCTGCAATTAATTTTAACTTAGTATTGTACAATTGTCTAATTTCAATTAAAAATCCAGGATGAACACTACAATCACAACAATTTTTAGAATTTTAACCTAAATTCGCACCACGACCTAATTTTAATCAAAAACCTTTTCCATTAAACTACAATAACAACAACAATCAAAGTAGAGAGAAAAATCAAGCCTCTTCCTCCGTATTAAAAAATAATCGTTATCAATATCCGTATTAAAAAAATTGAATAAAAATCAGAAAGAAGAGAAAGAAAGTAGAAGTTATGGTAACCGTGAGGGCCGAAAATCCTTTGAGTGATGCTGATTCTTGGAGTCGCCCAAAGCCTTGAAGGAGGAGTCAACCCTTGGAGCAGTGGCCAGCAGCCCTGACTTGCAGCCGAGAGGATAAAGGAGGAATCCTTGACTCGCGGCTGGAGGGAGGAAGAAGATCTAGACCGAGGGCGACCTAGCGGAAGCTCTTGAAGGCGGCGTCGCGAGAAGAGTCATCGTCGAGAAGGAGAATTGACGAGGGAGAAGTAGATTATTGGTGTATTCAATAGGGGGTGTTTGACAAGTGGGAATTGAGGGTGGGATTAATCCCAATTGAAAAAATAAGTCTCATTTGTTTGGTGAGAATGAGAATAAAGAGGTTTGGGAATAAGATTATTTAAAGGTGAATTCCCACCATTTTATTTTTAAGGAGGTTAGGTAATAAATGGATGGGAATGGGAATGGGAACAGGGAAAAAATGACATTTTTGTCATTAATGAAAAGAATGAAAAATTAATCTTAATAAGGGTATTTTTGTAAAATTGTTATTTATTCCCTATATATTCCCACCCACTATCCAAACAAGGTACTGCCATGTTTTCATGTATTCCCATTAATTAATTCTCAATCTCATTCGCACCTTTTAATCCCCAAACTCTCATTTTCACAATCCAAACGCCCCGTGAATGGCGTGAAAAACAAAGTGACAGTTTTAGACTTTTAGTTTTAGTTTTAGCGCTACAATTTCAAACAAAAACGAAGTAAATTAGTTTTACCGCCCAAGGTTTTTGTATAAACGGAGCCTTTTCTAATTTTCTTAAGAGTTTTCTAGTTCGGCACGAAAGTACGTCTATTTTGCTCCATTTTTCTAGAATTTGACGTAGTAAAAGATGTTTTTCCTAACGTTTTTCCTACTACGAAAGCCCCAACAAAACGATATATATTTGGGCAATCTTAATTTTAAGAGTAATTTTGACTATTTATGATTAGAAAAGCCGCAAATAGGGAGCTGTAAATGACTTTTTATACCAGTTATGGGCTATAAAAATATCAAACAAGCAATTCACAAAGAGAAATCAAATTTATGAAAGCAATACACTTGTTGGCGTTATTATGAAGGAAAACAAAGCATATTTGTAAAGAAAATTTAAGCGTCTATTAGAAATAGATCATCTATATAAATATATTCGACCTCAAATTTGTACTCATTATATTTAATATTCAAGTTTAAAAGTAAAAAAAAAATTCAAAGTAACATGGCGAATTCATGATATCTAATTAAATTGTATGCATGTAAATATATATTCTTAGTAAAGTTATATTGTATGCTACAATTTACAATTTTCTTATGACATGAGCAAATAATCTAGCTACATAAATTTTTTTGATAGCAAAACCTGTGGCATAAATGTGTGCTTGTCACAGGAAAAATTATTACCTATGACATTAATGCAAAGTTTACCACATGAAAAAAAATACTCATCGCACAATTGTAAAGTTTGCCACGGAAAAAGAGTTACCCGTGGTACAAAAGTAAAGTTTATCACAGGAAAAGAGCTACTCGTGACACAGATGTAAAGTTTGCCACGGGGAAAAAAAACTACTTGTGGCACAAGTGATATAATTGTCACGGGAAAGAAAAACCCATGGCATAAATTATTCTACATATATAGGTTTTGTATCATAATTCATTTTTCCCGTGGCTAATTGAAATTATGCCACGAATTTTGAATTCCCGTGGCATAATTCGTGGCACAAGTGATGATTTGTTGTAGTGTAACTTGTTATTTCATTGTAGGTGACCTAAGTGTAGGCCTTAGCTTCACTTGGCTTTGTAAACATAAAGACTATTCAGCGAATGTGAATTATCCGGCCCAGATAAAAAATAATCCCTTTACCCCTAAGCATTTTAAAAGCATCTTTCATATTTACAATTTTTTTATGACATGAGCAAATAATCTAGCTACATAAAATTTTTTGATAGCAAAACCTGTGGCATAAATGTGTGCTTGTCACAGGAAAAATTATTACCTATGACATTAATGCAAAGTTTACCACATGAAAAAAAATACTCATCGCACAATTGTAAAGTTTGCCACGGAAAAAGAGTTACCCGTGGTACAAAAGTAAAGTTTATCACAGGAAAAGAGCTACTCGTGACACAGATGTAAAGTTTGCCACGGGGAAAAAAAACTACTTGTGGCACAAGTGATATAATTGTCACGGGAAAGAAAAACCCATGGCATAAATTATTCTACATATATAGGTTTTGTATCATAATTCATTTTTCCCGTGGCTAATTGAAATTATGCCACGAATTTTGAATTCCCGTGGCATAATTCGTGGCACAAGTGATGATTTGTTGTAGTGTAACTTGTTATTTCATTGTAGGTGACCTAAGTGTAGGCCTTAGCTTCACTTGGCTTTGTAAACATAAAGACTATTCAGTGAATGTGAATTATCCGGCCCAGATAAAAAATAATCCCTTTATCCCCAAGCATTTTAAAAGCATCTTTCATTCTGCTTGTTCTTTCCCTATACTTAGTATCTTTGGGAATCAAATTTTGGAATTCTGAAAAGAATTTCATCATATTCAAGACATTTCATCAAAATTAAGGCATGCCGGCATGATTGCATGAACAACTTAAATGAGGAGCTAGAAGGCTTTTCTATGTCAATATTATTAATAATTTTGTGATGAAAAGTTTATGTAAACCTTGGGTCAATCCTTTTTTAAATTATGGGCCAATGATTTCCATGTTTGTTGTTAAATCATAGGGTAATTGTCTATTGCAAAAAAAAGTCTATCCTGAGTGAATAGGAAAAGGTTCTCTAACTTTTAGCTAACTACCTCAGTTTTAAAATGTTAACTTTTTTCTTTCTTTTTTTTTTTTTAATTTTTTTGGCAATGGAGAAAACAAGAACATAGATAGGTCCCTTCTCTAGCTAAAATTGCTAGATCTTGGATACCTTTAACTAGACTCCTACAATGTGCAATACAAGGATGAACACCGTAACTAACAAGACTCTCATAGTGACAAGTACACAAATGGACACAACTACTAACAAGACTGACCATAACCATGACAATTACATAGATAAACCACACTACTAGCATGAGACACTATTTTCTTAGGGATGTTGGAGATTGACAATGGGGGTTCTTCGCTTTATCGCTTCATGCTTCGATAGATAGTTGAAATGCAGCTCTTCCCACAGTTGTTTTCTAAACCAGAAATGCCACGGAAAGTTCTAGAATACGAGCGCCGAAACAATTGTTTTGTACTGAATTGACCAATAGCAAATAATTTGGGTAAAAATACCCTTCATACTATGGGCTCTCTAAGGGTTTAAGGCCTTGAACAAAAGAAGAATAAGACCCAAATAAAACAAAATCAAGGATGGGATAAGAGAAGTGATACATAACCAAAAAAAAAAAAAAGAAAAAAAAAGGAGGAAAACAAGTTGACTAAAACACAAGGCCCAATTGGCCCATATTTGTAGGGTACATACCCCTCTATCCAGCTTAGCTACTTGCAAAACAACCCAAAAAAAGAGAGGGCACTACCTCTATAAATACCTTACCATTTCCCAATGATGGGACATATGAGAACACATCAATCAATACACAATTATTACACACATCCCAAAAACTATCACTTCAATCATCACTCTCCCATCTCGTCTCATCAATCATTTCTCTTCTCTTTCCTCACCTCGTCCACTTACTGACTTGAGCATCGGAGTTCTTGCTGGTGAATAGTAAAATTTTCTACTACCTCCGGTCTTTATTATCTGCAAATTTCAGAGGGTTTGCGGTTCACGAGACAAAATTTGATAATTACAATTAGTGTATTTTATTTATGAGATTAGGAGGAGAGAGTGTCTAATTAATGGATGTCTTCCCCATCCCTTTTCTGGCAACCCCCTCATTCGTCTTCCCCTTCCATTTTCGGCAGCCCCCTCATTTGTCTTTCCCTCCCTTTTTCGGCAACCCCCTCCCTCGTCTTTCCCTCCTTTTCCCAGCAACCCCCTCCCTAACCTAAAAACCCAGAAATCTAACCCAGAAATCCCAAACCCAAAAACCCAGAAATTGTCACCCAAAACACCTAAAACCCACGCCCTAAAACCCTAACCCAGAAATCGTCACCATCATCACCTTCAATAAAACCCAAAACCCACGCCCTAAAACCCTAACCCAGAAATCCGACCATCATCATCACCTTCAATTGAAATAAAAACCCATAAAATCAAAACTCAGAAAATCGAAATCAAAACCCAGAAAATTGAAATCAAAATCTTGAAAATCAAAACCCAGAAAATTGAAATCAAAATCCAGAAATCTAAAACTCAGAAAATCAAAATCAAAACCCAAAAAATCGAAATCAAAACCCTAAAAATCGAAACTCAGAAAATCGAACAAAACCCAGAATATTCGAACATAAATCACCCAAAAAAACGAAAAAAGTAAAAAATTGAAAAAAACGATAAAATGAATCTGGATCGCACATCATCTTCCTATATATTATCGTTAATCGCACATCATCTTCAACTGAAACTTGTGAGGGAGGAGAGATGAAGAGGATCGTTCGTCGGTGGTGGAAGCTAAGGGTCGTGGTCATAGGGAGGAGAAAGACGGTGGTGGGATGAAAGGTGGTCGTGAAGGAGGAGAGAGAATGGTGGTGGGAGGGGCGGTGGTCGTGACTCGTGAGGGAGAAGGGATAAAGAGGTTGAAAGAGATGAAGAGGGTGAAAGGTTGAAAGAGAGGTTGAAAAAAGAGATGAATGGGTGGTGGGTAGACGATGAGATGAGTAAATGGGGTGGGTAGAATTAGGTTAATGATTTTAGATTAGTTTAAAAAGGAGGTTGAATTAACCTCTTAACCAGTTTTTTAAAATGTTAAGGAAGGGCATTTTGATCAAAAGTTGCTAAAAATGGAAAAAAAATGAATTGTTGCACATAATGTGGGGCGGCCAAAAATAGTAAATGTTGCAGATAATAAAGACCAGAGGTAGTATTATCTTTGGTAACACTAAACAATTGATATTAAGTTACATATGACATAAATGATGATATTTTATTAAATCTTTAACTATAGTTAGGGGTTTTGGGTTACTTTTTTTAATAATTAAATTATAAAAATAAAAATAAAACCCCAACCTATTTTTTTTTTTTTTTAAAAAATAAAAATAAAAAACCCAACCTTCTCCCAGCCACCCCTTCCCCAATTTCGGCGCCCAGCCTTCCTCCACCCTCCTTCACGGCTGACAACACCCTCCTCCAACCGTACCGCAACCACACCCCTCCTCTCTAACCCCCTATTTTCCAACCTCCTAAACCCTATGC